CACACAAAGATTTCCTGCTCTGCTTCTTGCACTGAGGGGGTGCTGGGGTGCAAGACGTCCCTGCCCTCATGGGATCTGCCTGGTGAGCGTGAGTCAACAGCAAACGAGTGAACAGAACCAGGGGCAGGGGGCGAGGAGGGGGCGGGGGGCGAGGACAGTCCCAGCGGGCTTCCTGGCGGAGGGGAGGCTGCGGGTGCTGAGACCTGAGAGAGGAACAGACCTGTGCTCGGATGAAACGGCTCGGGAAAGGAAAGACTGTTCCAGGCGGAGCAGGACCCACCGAGGGGAAAGCCCAGCCTGGCTCCTCACAGGCTGCCTCACGCCTGTTCCTGTCCGGCTGCTGGGACAGCACCTGCTCCCCCGCCCCCCCCCCCCCCCCCCAGGGCCCGTCCCTGTGCCGGCTGAGCCCTTCCCCTCGGTGCTGCCTTTCCTTCTTGGGCCCCGAGGAGTGCCTGGCCCTCCCCCCTCATCTCACCCCTGCAGGGTCTGCAGGTTGGAGGTGCCCCTGCTCCCCTGCCCTGTCCGCTCCCAGAGCTGCCCAGGGGAGAAAGCGCTCTGCAAACACCTGCTCTCGCAGTGGCCAGCAGGTGGCAGCCTCCCCCCACACAATGCGGGAAGGAGATCCACGGAAATCCACCAGGGACCGCGCTCACGCTCCAGGCCCAGGGCAGGAAAGGGACCCCATTCCCACGGGGAGAGACACACAGAGAGAAACACCCACGTGAGAGAGACACATCGACTGGCTGCCTCCTGCACGCACCCCGACCAGGGCCGGGGATCCAGCCTGCAACCCAGGTACGTGCCCTTGAGCGGCACCAAACCCCGACCCTTGGGTCCGAGGGCCCAAGCTCAGCCGCGGACTCCAGCAGCCGGGGCCCACGCCTGCTTCCGATGCCTGTTTTGAGGACCCAGTTTCAGGGCGACCGTGAGCTCTGCCGCCCGGTGAGTTTCATTTACGGTCAGAAACGCTGTTCTGAGAACACGAGAACGGGAGGCCTCCGGACCTCCTGGCCGGCCTGTGCTCCACGCGGACAGGGCCGGCTCCCCCTCCCGCCGCCTCTGGGCCGGGAGAGAAGCGGCGCGGGCCTCCTCCCCTGGGAACTGCATCCCCAGAAACGCCAGCAGGGAGGCCGCGGCCAGGGTGCGAGCAGGAGAGGATCGGGTGGCTCTACACGCTCCCGAAGAGCTGTCAGCCCGCGAGCGGGAGGGAGAGGCCTCCGAGGGTCTAAGTGGTGCTTAAAACTAGATCACGGGTTCTATCTGGATCCAGAGGTTTCGCTCCTTTCCGGCTCTGAGCAGGGCAGGTGCTGGGCGGCCGGGCAGGCACGTGGGGGTCGGAGACCGCAGAGGCCCCTGCCCCGGGCGAGGGGGCGACATGAGGCCCACAGGACCGGCTCATGGTCAAGAGTTAGCGTTAGTCCCAGCCCCCGACTTCCGTTTCACAAGAAAAACTGGAGCTCAAATGGCCGTTTGCTTGGGGCTCAGTGAGCGGGAGGGAGGAAGGAGTCTGTGCTGAGGAGTGGCCTCCCCGCACCCTGACCTGGTGGCCTCTGCTCTGGGCGCAGGGGGCAGGCGCAGGGGGCAGGTGCAGGGGGCAGGGGGCAGGGGTCTCCTCACGCGCAGGATGGGGCTGGAGGGCCTCTCCTCCCCCAGGGGCTGGGACAGGCCGGTGGCCCTCGGGGGATGGTGCCTTTAACGCGGCAGAAGGAATGCTGGGCCCCAGAGTTCCGTCCGCCGGGGTTGGGGGCGGCAGTTGAGTGGCAGTTGGAGGGGACTCCAGGCAGCGGAGGCCAGCGAGTGTGAGCGGTGGAGAGAGGGACGGGCCCCCCGGGAGCCCGAGCTCTGCCCGCCGCCCTCTGCCCTCTGCCCGCCTTTCTGCCCAGGTAATGCCTCCGTTGCAGGGCCCTGGCCCAGGGGGGACGTGGGACGCCTCCAGCCCATGGCCTGGCTCCTCCCCTCGCAGCCTCGGCCTCGTCCACGGAAAGGCAGCAGTGCCAGCGGGCTTCCCACTGGGACCGCACACTCACACTCACACTCACACCCCAGTCTCTCACACTCACAGTCACACCTCACATATACTCACACACACACTCACACACATTCACTCACACTCACACAGACATACACTCACACAGCACACACCTCATAGTCACACACTCACACCTCAGTCACACACACACACATATATGTACTCACACCTCACACACATTCACTCACACTCAGTCACACCTCACAGCCCCTCTCTCTCTCTCTCTCACACACATTCCCTCACAGTCACATTCACACTCACACACACCTCTCAGTCACTCACTCTCACACACTGTCCTGTTCCCGATTTAATCACGTGATTTATTGTTAAAAATCCTGAATTGCGGCCCCACGTCTGTGCGGCTCGCAGGGTCAGGTCTAAAGCAGTTCCCCTCCTCCAGTCTCGCCCCGACCTCTCCAGCTGGAGGGGTGCCCTCATGGGGACCCATCACTGCTACCGTGGGGGCCTCTGGGGCCGAGGGCACTTTAGTGGAGCCCCCTCCCCACTGCAGCCCAGGCTTTGTCCCCCCCTGCAGCCTCCCCTGGCTCCTTCCCCCTCCTCCCTCTCCAACATCAGGGCCCTTCCCGGGGGTCTGATGCCAACGTGGGTGCGGGGACAGCTGGAGGGGAGGTGGGGCGGTGAGGACGGGGACTTCGGACAGCTTCCCCTCTGAGGGGCAGGGGGGGGGGTGGCTCCATGAAGGGGGAGGGGCTGTGAGGGGGGGAAGGCCTGAGACCATCAGATCCTGGCAATCTGGGCGGCTCTGAATTGAGAACAGACTAGTTAAAGGGACAGGAAGGTTTGTGGTGGAAAGTGCACTTGCTTTTGGTTGGAAAGGTGTCCACGATGGGCGGCGGGAAACTCGGAGTCCAGTCCTCAAACACGACAGCACTCGCGGCCCGTTTTCTGGGTTAGAGGCAAAAATAGCACAGCTCCGAGCCGTGGGAGCCTCTCGTCCTGCAACGCCCTCTGGGTGCCAGCGGCCCTCCCTCTTTGGAGCGAATCAAGGAAAGAGAAGAACGAATCTGCTCTCAGGACAGTATGGCAAACGTGATGACAAATGTCCCCTGGCAGATGGGCCATGCCACCCAGACCCCAGCGTCGGGGGACAATAGGGAAGGGTGGGGCCTGCGGCAAACCGGAGCCTGCGTGCCCTGCCAGAGGGGTGGACGCTGCCCAGCACGTGCCGCCTGCAGCGGCAGGGGCAGACAGTGCTCCCGGGTGTCGGACACAGGACACGGGTCTGTTTTTTCTGTTACTGTGGTATCTCCTAATTCAAATTTAAGACATTTTAAAAATATGTGCAGCCCAAAGAACATGGACTGGGAGTTGCATGGGGTCCGAGATGTGCCAGTTTGTACTCTGCTCTGAGCGGAGACCTTGCCGTGTCTGCTTGTCCAGCCTGTTGTCAGGTGAGGACCCCACCGGTGAGCAGAGGATGCCGGGGCCTGTCCCCCCCACTCCCCCCCGCCCAGGTGCTCCCAGCGGAGGAGGCCGGCCAGGAAGGGTCCTGGGGATGCGGTCGGGGCCTCAGGCGCTCCCCCCAGCTCATCAGGAGCCCCCGCCCGCCCCACGACCGCAGGAAGCAGACTCTCACTCCAGGCAGCGCCTCGCTCCTGGCAGAGGTTGGCACACAGATGGCACAGAGGTTGGCGCAAGCAGCTTTCCCGGCATAAGGTTGCATTTCCCCCGGGACTGCTGAATCTAGCCGCGTGCGTCCCAGCTGCCGCGCCGCCAGCCACCACAGGGTCCAGCCCCCCGGGAGTGTCGGAGGGCGAGTCCGGCCTCGACTCCAGGACCTGGCCAGGGACGCTGTCCCCTGTGCAGGCATCTCGGATCCGGGCCCTCCAGGCAGCTGCCAGCCCACTGCTGCCAGGGTGCTTTGCCAGGAGACGAGCCAGGGAATCAGCCTGGCCAGTGTTGCTCAGCAGTTAGAGCCTCAGCCTGCATACCAAACGGCTGTGGGTTCGATTCTCGGTCAAGGGCATGTACCTGGGTTGCAGGTTCGATCCCTGGTCCGAGTCTGAGCACATGCAGAAGGCAACCAATCGACGTGTGTCTCTCTCACATGGATGTTTCTCTCTCCTCTCACTCCTCCGTCCCTCCCTCCCTCCCTCCCTCCCTCCTGCTCTCTCTGAAAAGCAATGGGGGAAGTATCCTGGGGTGAGGATTCACACAAAACAGTGAGGGAACCAGAAGTCACAGGTGAGCGGCCTCCCGGACGGGGAGCCCAGCCTGGGAGGAGCAGGATGGAGGGTCCGGGGACGGCTAGCTGGACCGGGGCGCCTCCGGGGGCTGGGCCCAGCTCGGGGGCGAGACAGCGGCAGCCGCTGGCACCGAGCGGGGGAAACGGCGTGCGGATCCCCAGAGGAAAGCGACCCGCCCTGCAGGGCCACCTCTCTAAAACAGCGCCAGCTTCTTGCTGTGAGATGAGGCCAAAGCCACAGGAAAGAAGCAAGAATGGCGCTGAGGTCCTCACCGGCGCCCACTCCGACCCACCCGCAGTGACCCTGCGGCCTGTCGCGCTCCCGGGGCGCAGCGTGGCTCTCCGGACCGGTGAGAGCAGAGGCAGGCCTTGCTCATCATCTCCACGTGCTGCCCCGTGTGGCTCCCGAGAACGGGCTGCTCCCTTACACAGGATGGTTACGGCGTCAGCATCAAACCGCACAGCCGCGAAGATGAATAGTTTACTCGGATGGGATGGGTTACCTAACCTGCCGCCATGTGCAGACATCCCCGCTGTTGCAATGACATCCTTTACATATATTTTTTATTGATTTCAGAGAGGAAGGGAGAGGGAGAGAGACAAACATCAATGATGAAAGAGAATCATGGGTCGGCGGCCTCCTGCACGCCCCACACTGGGGATCGAGCCCGCAACCCGGGCCTGTGCCCTGACTGGGAATCGAACCCGGGGCCCTTCAGTCTGCAGGCTGCTTCGCTCGCCGCTGAGCCACACTGGCTGGGGCTGCAATGACATCCTTCCTGTTTCTCCTGGGGCAGCACTGAACGCAGACCGTGTGCTGCTTCAGCTGTCACGTTTCTTTAGCAGCCTTTCCTGTGGGATGCGCCCCCCCCTCCTCCCCGTGTCTTGCGTGGAACGAACACGTCTGGGGTGCGCGGGGCGGTGTTCTGTAGGACGCTCCTCTGGGCTTGTCTGCTGTTCCCTCAGAGTGGACGGAGGTCCCGCCGCTGGTGGGAGCCCTGCGGGAGGGCCGTCTCGTCCGCGTCTGAGCTCCTGGAGCCTGGTCTGGTTGGCCAGGGGGTATCCTCCCGTGGGACGCCGGGTGCGCCCTGCAGTGCCTTCCTGGATTCTTGGAATCCTCGGGTCCTGGGGTTCCCTCTCCCCTAAAGGATCCAGTTGGGTTTCGGAACTTGCCATGAGCTCCTTCTTCTCAGCCTGCTCGCCTGCTTCCCTCAGCTCACCTTCTGCGCAGCCCTCGGGGCACTGCGGCCAGGGAAGGGCCCGAAGCAGTGGGAAGCCACAGGCAGGTCAGGGCACGGCCACGGCTGGGCTGTCCACGCTCCACACCGTGGAGGGACAGGGCGGGCGGGGAGCGGGAGAGAGGCCGTGGGTGCCAGCCTGGGCCCGGTCCAGGTCCCCTCGCCTGCCCCTCTGGCCAGAGCTGGACTGTGTCTGTTCAGGGAGCCAAGGACCCGCCAAGGGCGAGAGGCCACTTTTCTTAGTTTTCTGGGTCTGAGCACCCCTGCAGGCGCTGGCAGCCCCCCACCTTCCTGCAGAGAATCCAGGGAAGCCGGGGCACAGCACTTTGGGGGAGGGGCTGTGAAGGGCTTGCTGGTAACTGAAGAGCCAGTGGAGGTGCTACGGGAAGGCTCTCGGGGCCTCATCCTGATGGTTACTGTGGCGTTCCTTCTTTCGTCCTGTTAGTTTCAACCTCTTTGTGTCTTTTTGGCCACCCCCCCCCGTCAATGTGGAAGGCTGGTGGGTAAGCCCATGTCGGAGGGTTGGGCCAGGGAGCTGGCTGGGGGCCTGGGGCTGCCTGATGCTGTCCCAGAGTGTCCTGGTCCCAGGGAGCCTCTCGTCTCTCTGCAGTGACGGTGCCCCTCGGCCGCGAGCCCAGGGCTCCGGACCGCCAGCAGGATGGTGGGCGAAGGCCCCTACCTCATCTCCGACCTGGACAAACGGAGCCGGCGGCGGCGGTCCTTTGCAGAGAGATACGACCACAGCCTGAAGACCATGATCCCCATGAGGCCGTACGCGAGGTAAGCGAGGAGGACGGGGAGGGCAGGTCAGGCTGCCAAGAGTCGTTTCTGGTCCATCAGGAGAGTGGGCACTGCCCCTGCTCTCCATGCTGGGCTCTGTATGCTTGTCCTTTTGTCTCCCCATCCATCCTCCCGTCCACCATCCATCCACCCATCCATCCTCCCATCCATCCATCCATCCTCCCATCCATCTACCCATCCATCCTCCCATCCATCCATCCTCCCATCCATCTACCCATCCATCCTCCCATCCATCCATCCTCCCATCCATCCACCCATCCATCATCCACCCATCCATCATCCATCCATCCTCCAATTGTCCACTCACCCATCCCATCCATCCACCCATCCATCCACCCACCCATCCATCCATCCACCCATCCATCCACCCATCCATCATCCACCCATCCATCATGCATCCATCCTCCAATTGTCCACTCATCCATCCCATCCATCCACCCATCCATCCATCCTCCCATCCATCCACCCATCCATCATCCACCCATCCATCATCCATCCATCCTCCAATTGTCCACTCATCCATCCCATCCATCCACCCATCCATCCACCCACCCATCCATCCATCCATCTACCCATCCATCCACCCATCCATCATCCACCCATCCATCATGCATCCATCCTCCAATTGTCCACTCATCCATCCCATCCATCCACCCATCCATCCATCCTCCCATCCATCCATCCTCCCATCCATCCACCCACCCATCCATCCATCCACCCACCCATCCATCATCCATCTATCCTCCAATTGTCCGCTCATCCATCTATCTGTCCATTCATCCATCATCCATCCATCTGCTCACCCATCATCCATCTATCTATCCATCCTCCATTTGTCCACTTATCCATCTATCTGTCCACACATCCATCATCCATCCATCCTCCAATTATCCACTCATCCATCCCATCCATCCATCCATCCATCCGTCCATCCATCCGTGATTCATCCATCCACCCATCTACCTATCCATCCATCCTCCAATTGTCCACTCACCCATCTACCTGTCCACCCATCCATCATACATCCATCCTCCATTTATCCACTCACCCATCTATCTGCCCACCCATCCATCATCCACCCATCCATCATCCGTCCGCCCACCCACCCTCCCATCCACCCATCAAGGCATCCACCGTTATTCATTGGTGGAGCCCTCACTCCTTGACCCCCCCTGTCCTTGGGTGAGAGGGGACACAGCTGCGGTTCAGGAGGTGCTCACAGCTCCCTGTGACACACAGGACTCACATAATCCAAAGAGCGGAGATGCTGGTAACATCCAATACAATGATTAGGAGGTGATGCCTTCCCGGTACTCACTGCCTTTGTCTGTAAGGTGACTGATCTAAATGGATGTCACGTGGTTTCTAATACCGTCTATTTAACAGCCGACCTGCATGGCTCCTGGAAGGCTCACAATCAGCTCCCGCGAGCTGGTCCGATCGCACTGCTGCTCAGAGGACTGCTGGGCGCGCCCACCGGCTCTGAGCACGGCTGTGGGCACCGCCCTTGTTAGGAATGTACGCCAGGGGCTGAGGGCCCCGGCCCGGCGTCCGAGAACATGGCGCCTCTGTTGTCCTAGGCTGGCGCCCAACCCCATGGACGACGCGGGGCTGCTCTCCTTCGCCACGTTTTCCTGGTTCACGCCACTGATGGTGAAAGGCTACAGGCACACGCTGACGGTGGACACTCTGCCCCCACTGTCGCCGTACGACTCCTCCGACACCAACGCCCAACGGTACCAGGACTCCCCTGGGTCACCTCAGGAGGGGAGCGCGGCCGGGAAGGGGGCCGGAGCCCCTCGGGAGTTCCCATTTCCCAGGCGTGGAAACCGGCACCCGCGGGTCCTGGTGGCCCTTCTCGGTGGCGGAGACGTGGGCCGCGCTGCCTGACTCGGTCCAGTGTCTCGGGAGGGGAGGACTGGGGAGAGCCGGTGGGGAGACAGGACGGCCTGGGAGCTGCGGCCCGAGGCTCCGGCCACGTGGCTGGGTGTCCGCAGGGCTGCAGGGGCCCTGGCTCGGGACAAGAGCGGCCAGCATCCCGCTGTGCTCTGTGCTGGGGAGACCCCATCGGGCCGCTGCACGGTGACCTTCTGTCTAAATTACCTCCTAAAGCTGCATCCTGTTTTTAAAAAATATGTTTTTATTGATTTCAGAGAGAGAAAGGGAGAGGGGAGAGAGAGAGAAACATCAATGATGAGAGAGAATCATGGACCGGCTGCCTCCTACACGCCCCACACTGGGGATCGAGCCCGCAACTGGGCTGTGCCCTGACTGGGACTCGAACTGAGACCTCCTGGGTCATAGGTCGACGCTCAACCACTGAGCCTCACCGGCCGGAGCAAAGCTACATTCTTGATCCTCGACCCCATTGATAAATCTCCCCAAACTCTGTTCACACCGTTGGCCAACACAGAAAACTGGGCTCCTTGGGCCCCGCTCACCACCGCGCCCCCCGGCCCCCGCCCGCTCCACACTCACGTCAGTTCATCAGTAGGGACTGTGGTCCTCTCTCCGTCCATCTTCCCTCAAACCCATTTCCCTCCTCCCAGTGTCAGCTACGCTCACCTGGACACCCCCTTTCTTACCGGGTCTCGCCGCGCCTGCCTTTGCTTCCCCGCCACCCACTCCCCCGCCGGCAGCCAGAACCAGGTTTTAGACACGAATTGTCTTCGTGTCAGGTGGCGGCTGCAAAGCCCTCAGCGGCGTCCTTGGCCCTGGAGTGAGATCTGAACCCCTTCCCGTGAGCGCCGCCCTCGGGCGCCGTGCCAGCCGGCCCCTCCCTCCCCACCCGTCACTGTCCTCCTTTCTCGTGTTTGACAGGGACAAACTCCTCCTCACCCCGGAGAAGGCTGTGCCCTGGATTTCATCAGGGCTGGGACTGTGCGCAGACGTGGGCAGTGGGGGCAGGGGGCAGGGCGCGGAGGGCGCCCCATGCCAGGCGGCAGCGTGTGGCGCCCAGGCCTCTCTCCGGCCCCGCCCACATCCCAGCGGCCCTGTCAGGGGAGACGGAGCGTCAGTGCGGCTGGTCCAGAGCCACCTCTGCCAGGGCAGGGTCCTGCGATGAACGCTTTCTTCTATTTATTTATTATTATTTTTTAATCCTCACCCGAGGATATTTTTCCAATGATTTTTAGATGGAAGGGAGGGGTGAGAAAGAGAGAGAGAGAGAGAGAGAGAGAGATCGATGTGAGAGAGACACATTGATTGGTTGCCTCCCACATGAGCCTGGGATGGAGCCTGCAACTGAGGTATGTGCCCTTGACCACAATTGAACCTGGGATCCTCCAGTCCGCAGACTGGTGCTCTACCCACTGATCCACCTGGCCAGGGCCTGCCACGCACCCTTTAGAGATTCGCCCACCGGAGAGGCTCCGGGCAGCCAGCGGACACCGAAGGCCCTTTCCTCCTCCTCTTCCCGCGCAGGTTCCGCGTGCTCTGGGACAAGGAGGTGGCGAGGGCGGGCCCCGAGAAGGCCTCCCTGGGCCGAGTGGTCTGGCAGTTCCAGAGGACGCGGGTCCTGATGGACACGGTGGTCAACATCCTGTGCATCGTCATGGCCGCCATCGGGCCGGTGAGTGGTGCCCTCTGCCTGGTCCCGGGGCCCGACCGAGGGAGAATCGTCAGCTCCTTCCTCTGCGACATTGCCCTGATCGCTGAGCTCCTGGGGGCGAATTTCCATCAGGCGAGTCCTCGCCACGCACAGCGGCAGCTGCCGAAATTAATTAAAAAGTTTGCCTCCTGGAGCCGGTGGGGACATCATGGGGGCCGCCCGCCCATCCTCACCCAGCGGCCCTCTCCTCTCCCCCCTCCCCTTGCTGTTCTGCAGATGGTCCTCATCCACCAGATCCTCCGGCAGACGGAGAGCGCCGCCCGCAGCGTCTGGGTGGGCGTCGGCCTGTGCGTGGCCCTCTTTGCCACCGAGTTCACCAAAGTCCTCTTTTGGGCCCTGGCCTGGGCCATCAACTACCGCACGGCGATCCGGCTGAAAGTGGCCGTGTCCACCCTGGTGTTCGAGAACCTGGTGTCCTTCAAGACGCTGACGCGCATCTCTGTGGGCGAGGTGAGCGGGCGGGGCAGGGCGGGCCGGGCGCATCCTGAGCGCGCTGTGGGTCAGACGTGCCTCTGGACGGAGCAGCCGCCTCCCTGTGTCCGGTCCTGCCCACCAGCCCTCCCCCCTCCCCCCCGCCCCGCTGAAATTAATGAAAAAGTCTGCCTCCTGGAGCCGGGTGGGGACATCATGGGGGCTCCCCGCTGGGTGAGCGGAGACTCAGAGCGCTGAGGCATCGGGGAAGGAGGCGCCAGCAGGCCCCTTCACGCTGGAGGACTTGGGGTCGTCTCTGTCCAGCTGGACGCAGGGGTCCCCTCGTCCCTTCGCTTTGATTGACAGTGAGGACACAGAGGCGATACAGAGCCGGCTACGGTCATGGATCAAACTGATTGGCCCATATACCCGGCGGTTCCACTGGTGTAGTGTTTGGGGCGCCAAAGCCATAATGAAACTGTGCCTGCGGGCCTTCAGAGTTGACACTTTCTTTCTTTTAAAAAATTCATTGATTGATTTTTAGAGAGAGAGGAAGGAGGGAGGGAGGGAGGGAGGGATTGAGATGGATTTGTGGTTCCACTTATCACCTACTGATGCCGCCATCGGTTGGTTCTGGCATGTGCCCTGACCATCCTTGGCGGGACAACGCTCTAACCCACGGAGCCGCCCAGCCAGGGCCCGAGCGGACATTTTCTTACGCCCTTAATCCTTACAACGCAGTCCTCACCACGTACACCGGAAAGCCCGCTCGTCCCGGGTACCCCCAGCGGTGTGAGCACCCGGTGTCCACTGAGCGTTCTGGTCTTTGGCTGGCTGGCTGGCCGCCGCCCTCGGCACAGCGGAGCCCGGGTGCTGCTGCTGCTCTCGCTGGCCTTCCTCCTCGGCCGCCTCGGTGCACACAGACGGGCCCCTTCCCCACGGAGCTCACAGTGCTGGTTCCCGATGCCCCCGCCCCTCCGAGGGGCATCTCTCTCCGCTCAGACCCTCAGCCGCGGTGACGGTGACGCCGCCCCCTGTCCCCCCGGACCCCGGGCTCTCTTTCAGGTGCTCAACGTGCTGTCCAGCGACAGCTGCTCCCTGTTCGAAGCCGCCTTGTTCTGCCCCTTACCGGCCACCATCCCCATCCTCATGGTGGTCTGTGCCGTGTTCTCCTGTTTCACCCTGGGGCCCACAGCACTCATCGGCATATCTGTCTACATCATCTTCGTCCCCATCCAGGTGACCCTGTCTGCCCGGCCCCAAGGGGCGCCCACACATGTGCGAGCTTTTCTGGGCACCCTGTCAGGTTTTTGTAAAAAAATATATTTCTATTAATTTCAGAGAGGAAAGGAGAGGGAGAGAGAAATAGAAAGAGATAGGGAGAGGACCATCAATCGGCTGCCTCCTGCACGCCCCCACTGGGAATCAAGCCCTTAACCTGGGCCTGTGCCCTAACCGGGAATCGAACCCTGACCTCCTGGTTCACTGAGCCACGGCGGGCGGGCACAGTCTGGTGGTTTTTCAAACTTGAATTTGAAAGCCCTGGGGAGGGGGCAGGGCACGCTTCCCCAGTTTGTCAAAGTCGCCAACACCGCGTTTGCGTCTGGTGGCCCGCGTATTTCCATGGCCGGCCCTGGCCCTGGTGCCCCCAGACCACGCTGGCCGAGTGAGAACCGTGCCAGCTTCCCTTAGGCCCTGTCCCTGCTCTCCAACTCCAGCCTCAGGGGGTGGGGGTGGGGTGTTCAGGCCAGCTCTGCCCGCAGGGCACCCGGAACACAAGGTCGGTACCTCGCCCTCAGGTGTTCATGGCCAAGCTCAACTCGGCTTTCCGAAGGTCAGCGATCTCCATGACGGACAAGCGGGTGCAGATCATGAACGAGTTTGTGACCTGCATCAAGCTGATTAAGATGTACGCCTGGGAGAAACCCTTCACCCAGACCATCAGAGGTAGGCGGGCGCCGCGGGGGGGGGGGGGGGGGGAAGACTTGCCCCGGGGCACGGGGTCTTCCCAAGGGCTTCGCAAGGTTCCCGGCACCGGGCGTTCCAGACGGGCCCCCTGAGCGGCCCTGCAGGCGCTTCAAAGGGCTCAGGAGCTTTCATCATAGAAACGGCATCTGGCTGGTGAGCCGGGCGCGGCAGGCGAGCACCGTATGGTTAGCCTTTGCCCGGCGTGTGGGTGCTGGCGCTGGCCACTCAGTTCCCTTCCACAGAGAGAACCCACCAACCATGGTGAGCAGAAGAGCGGCCTCAAGCTATTTCCTTAGATTTCTACACACACACAAAACACACACCCACGCACACCCACCATACTCATACACACACTCATATGCGCACACACACACACACACACACACACTAAGCACCCACATGCACACCCACACCCACAGACTCATACACACACTCATATGCACACTCACACACACACACACACAAAACACACACCCACGCACACCCACCATACTCATACACACACTCATATGCGCACACACACACACACACACACAGCACCCACATGCACACCCACACCCACAGACTCATACACACACTCATATGCACACTCACACACACACACACACACAAAACACACACCCACGCACACCCACCATACTCATACACACACTCATATGCACACACACACACACTAAGCACCCACATGCACACCCACACCCACAGACTCATACACACACACATATGCACACTCACACACACCTACTCGCACACACTCATGCACTCATGTACACACTCATACACCATCTCTCTCACATACACACGCTTGTACACACACACACACACTGACATGCACACTCACACACACTCATAAGCACTCACACGCACACATGCACACCCACAATGACTCATACACACACTCATATGCACACACTCACATACACTCGCACACACACACTTGCACCCACATATGCTCATATGCACTCATGCACACACTCTCTCACATACACCCACCCCCCACACGCACACATAAATCCCTCGGTGCCTGCAGAGCCTCGTTGTCCCTGGGTGGCCCTCGGGCTGACATGCCTCACGCAGGTAAGAGGCGACACAGGCCGCTTCTCTCCTAAAGACGGCACTAACCCATTCCGATCAAATATAAATGCAAATTAACTGCGGGAACATTTACATAATTGCTGACGGAGCCTCAGGTGCTTGGCCGGTTAATGACCTGAGCCACGTTACAGCGGACTCCCCGGGTCTACAATTACACTCCCGGCCAGCGTGTAATTGGGCCTGCAGCTGCGGACCTGCTCCTGGGGACCCACACTGAGGACCCAGAAAAGCTTCCTCACCCCCGAACTCACTTCAAGACACTGCCTTGATTTGAATAAATGTGGTTCCATGCGCCTTGATTCAACCCCACACAGGTCAGGTCAGGTCAAGTCCACACATATTTCCCAGCTGCTCCTGTGCAGAAGGCCACGAAACCACACACATGATCAGCCTTTCAGACAGAGGAGAGCCCGGCTGGCATGGCTCCGTGGCCGAGTGTATGCCCTGCACTGAAAGGTGGTTGGTTCGATTCCGTAGGGCACATGCCCAGGCTGCGGGCTCGATTCCCAGCAGGGGGTGTGCAGGAGGCAGCTGGTGGGCGTTTCACTCTCACATCGATGTTTCTCTCTCTCCCTCTCCCTTCTTCTCTCTCTCAAATTCAATTTTAAAAAGTCTTTAAAAAAAAGATGAAGGGTGAGCTAAGCTAAAAAAAAACCAGCTAAAAGATAAGCTTGCTGGGTGTACTCCAGAGTGTGTGGACTCGGTCTGCTGCTCACCCCAGTCCACATCTCGGACTTCGGAGCAGCTGACGCCCTGCGACCCTGGCCGCCCCTCTCACCGAAACACACAGGCCATCCGGGTGCCCTCCTTCCGCACGCTCCCTCCGGGCTCCTGTGTGCCACACCCGTCACTCCGGCGCCTGCCTGGCCCCCGTGGGAACCGAGACGCAGGGCGGGGAGTGACCTTGGAAGTCCCCCAGGACCGCCCCCGGCCATGGCCGCACCGAGTTCCCAGGCCGGCTCTGTGCCCAGACTCGGTGCTCCCTCCATCTGCACCTCGCGGCGGGGACCCCTCACCCCTGTGCCCGGAGGACGGCAGGGGCTGGACGTGCCACTGCCCTCGGGCCTGTGCTCCCCCTGCAGACATCAGGAGGAGGGAGAGGAAGCTCCTGGAGAAGGCGGGCTTTGTCCAGAGCGGGAACTCGGCGCTGGCCCCCCTCGTCTCCACCATCGCCATCGTGTCCACGTTCACCGGCCACATCCTGCTGCGGCGCAAGCTCACGGCCCCCGTGGTAAGGACGGTGCCACGGGGCGGCTCCCCCGCCTTGGCCTGCCCTGGCACTGACCGCCCAATGGCGGGGGGCAGGCTCACAGCGACCCTTTGGGCCCACGGCGGGGCAAGGGGCACAGTTAACGTGGCCACACAACCTGACACTTGGAAACCCACACTCAGGCCGCACATGCCACTGCCGGGGGGTTGCCTGCAGCGGCCCACGATCTCAGCCCCCCGCCGAGCACGAGCAGGGGTTCCCAGTTCGCCACACGTTCGTGCCCTTCCCTTTGGTTCCTGCCACAGCCCCCCCGGCCGGTGGCACTGGCTGTGGCGGGCCGGCTTCTCTCCCTCACCGGTCGCGCGGGCCCTGAGGGCAGGGCGGGGCGGGCTGTGCCTGCACCCGTGTGGTCTGTGCGTGTCCAGTGGGTGCGGGTGACACTGTAAGCCCGCCCCTGAGGCAGCCGCTCGGTCCTGACCGGACCCTGGGCCTCGCCTCTGCGTTAGCATCCCCGCTCGGGCAGCCACGCGCACAGCTGGTGCGGAAGGAGGGGGTCTCCTTCACACCGACTCCCGGTCCCACACCCGGAGAGTCTGCCGTGCTCGCCGGGCGGTGGAGCTGTGGGTCCGAATCATGAGCTCCTCACGCCTGGGTTTTATCATCTGTGAACGGGGTGAGGGGCCCTGTGGCTGGGAGGCCGGCCGAGACGGGGAGACGGGGGGGGGGGGGGGGGGGGGGCGGGGAGGGGGCAGGGGGCGCAGGCCAGGTGCTCAGTGTCCGCAGGGGCCTGTGCACTCAGAGGCAAAGGAGCTCCCAGCCGGAGGGAGACGGCCCGGCGGGGACAGACACCAACAGCCACAGCACGAGCCGCTGTCCCAGGGAAGTGGGGGGAGGAGTCAACAAAAGCAAGAAAGATAAAGGGAGAGAAAGAAAGTAAAAAGTACAGGGTGCGAGCCGGGAGGAACGGCACCGAACCCGGGGATGGACAGGTGGCTGCTCCCCAGGAGCACCCGGGGGCTGGGGACCTGCCCCGCCCTGGGCACCCCTGGGAGACGGCTCTCTGGGCCACCTTCCTCTCTCAGTCTCGGGGCTTCGACCGGCAGGAGCCCCAATGGCCTGAGGAGAACGCCCCCCGCTATTGCGCGGCCTTATGATCCCCAAACAAACAAGGACATCTCCCCCAGCAACTCGCCAAGCAGGTTACTCTGTAAGCGAAGTGACCAGTTCACTTGTCTAAAACGAGGCTCTGAAGGAAGCGAGGCCGATACGGGTCCCTGGGCGCGGAGCTTGGACTTCGCAGATCGGAATCGCCTGCTCAGCGCCTCACGTAGGGGGTCCGCCAGCGGCTGGGGCTCTGTCGCCTGAGCCAAGGCCCTTTCCTGAGCCGAGACCCCACTTTGGGGCCGGGGCACTGAGCACTGTGGGGGGATGGATCTAGGACCAGATGTGAGGAAGGCGGCATCCTCCCTCACTCTCCTAACAGACGGACTGACGATGCTGCCATCAGACGTTGGACCGACGAGAAGAGGGCGCTGAGAGAGGCGGGGGCGCTGAGAACGGCGCCGGTGCACGCCTGGGCACCCCCAGCTGGGAGACTTCTTTCTCTTTTTTCTTTCTTTCGCTCTTTTAAAAACTTGAGTTCCGGCTGGGAAAGAATTCAGAGCCAAGACTCAAACTGTAAGAGGACATTTACTTAGGAAGTCACAGGGTAGCGGAAGAGATTCATAGAAGGAACCGATGTAGGAAATAAGTTGCTGAGGCAGAGGAAGGCCCTTGGGGCTGAGGAGGGAGGCAGGTAAAGGCGAGGCGCCTGGGGCAGGGGCAGGGGGAGGGCTGGGCGTGCTGGGGGAGGGGGCAGGGGCCACACTGGGGCTGTGAGGGTTTGGAGGCAAGGCGGCTGGAGCTCCAAGGGTAGGGGCTCCTGCAGCAGCCAGGGGGAGGGGGAGGGGGACACCTGGGTGGTCCTGGCGAGTGCGACTGTGTTTGGGTGGAGAGTTCCCAGGGCATCAGTGAGCGACCCTCCCCCGCCCCGCCCCTGTAGACTGGCAGAGGCTGGGACACGGCTCCCACCATTTTGGTGAAAACCCAAAAGGCAAACAGATTGAGATGTTGCTATCCGATCTGCCGACCTGTGACCTCTGCGCCACGAAATGGAAAAAGCTGTTCCTCGGAGACCCCCCCTCCTCACCCGCCCTCAGCGAGGCGGGCCCCGGGGACGTCACGGTCCGGGCCAAGGACACACCCGTCCTGACCCCGGTTCCCCCCTAACCCCCCGTCCCCCGTCCCCCCACCCCGCTTGTCAGGCATTCAGTGTGATCGCCATGTTCAACGTGATGAGGTTCTCCATCGCGATCCTGCCCTTCTCCGTCAAGGCGGCGGCCGAAGCCAGCGTCTCCCTGAGGAGAATGAAGGTATAACTCACGCTGGGTGAGTAGGGGAGAGAGGTCTCCTTTCTGGGGGGGAGACTCCCAGATAAGGGAAGCCGAGCCCAGCCACTGGGGAGAAGGCCCCAGGGAGGTGGGGTGCACACCTGCGGGTGGAGGAGGGCGCGGGCCGTGCTTCTAGGTGGCCCCCGTTTTAGGGAAAACGAGATGGAGTCTCTACAGAGAGACGATCACTGTGCCCCCGCTCCTGTCCAAGCCGTGGACCTGAGGCGGTTCCAGGAGTGGGGCTGGGTGTGCACACAGCGCCCCCCCCCGCCCCCCGTCTGGTTTGTGCTGCAAGGAGTGTGGTGCTGGGAGTGATGGGGGCACCCTATTTACCCAGCACTCAGCCACCTTATTCACTCATTTATTTGCTCATCAAAGACTGACTGTGCTTCCCACACGCACGGCATTGTGGGAACGCACAGACATAGGAGAGTGAGTCTGGACTGGCCTAGTGTAGGACCAGGCCCCCCAGCGCCTGCCGTACACGGTGCGGGGCTGCGTGGCGCACGGGAAGGGCAGATACGGTGGCTGTGGTGTTGAGGTGAGGGCGTCCGGTCAAGAGAGCAGCAGGCTCACCCGTCGGGGTGGCTCAGTGGTTGAGTGGTGACCCATGAACCAAGAGGTGGCCAGGACACGAGAGAGAGAGAGAGAGAGAGAGAGAGAGAGAGAGAGAGAGAGAGAACGCAGCAGGCTCACATATCTGCAAACGGATGGAGAGACCTTACTCACTGTAGCCAGAGGCCACCTGCGCACACTCAGTGCCCGTGTCCGTATCCCTCTCTCCCTCACCGTCCACATCTGCCCCCGAGGGCCCTGCTGACCCATCTCCTGGCCACGTAGTCCCCTATTTAAAAAGCCGCCGGGTGTGACTGCCTAGAAGGCACACTGTTGAATGATCCCTTTTTGACCAAAAGAATGGACGCCGTCCCGTGACCTGTGTTAATGCTGATACCGGATGTCTCAGACCAGAGGGCACTGCTCTCTCTTGACTCCTTCTGGCCCCCAGACCCCCACCTTCACTCAATGCCTCATCACCTCGTCTGGACTATCGCAGGGACGTAGGGACCAGCGCCTTCCCCGACTCTGTCCTCCTCACTCCCGGTCACAGGGCGCCAGGTCCCCAGAGCTGTTACAACGTCGGTCATCCCTCTGGCCATTGATGTGTCTGTCTCTCTCTCTCTCTCCCTCTCCCTTTTTCTCTAAAATCAATAAAAAAAAATATTTTTAAAAGCTGCTACCGTGTGCGCGAGGGTAAAACGCAGCTGGGAGGGGCCCTCTCCGTGCGGGTGACCCCCACAGGCCTGGTGGTTAAAGAGCCACCGTCCTCCGTGGTCAGGGCCAGGGGACCCCTTCAGCTGCAGGTCCTCCTGGGGGAGCAGCCTCAGTCGCCCTCCCCGGACGTCCGGGGTAGAACCGAAGAGACTGTGTGCTTGGAGGTGCCTAGAGGTGTCCTGGGATGATTCCTGCCAACGGATGGCGTCTACCCAGTTAATTCTGTTTCTTTGATCTTAGAGAATTCTCGTAGCCAGAAGCCCCCCCTCCTACATCACCCAACCAGAAGGCACAGACACTGTCTTGCTTTTAGCAAATGCCACCCTGACGTGGGAGCAAGAGGCCGGCCGGGAAAGCGACGTAAAGAAAGCGGAGAAGCAGGAAAAGCGTCTTCTCACGAAACAGAGGTCGGAGACGTACAGGCCGAGTGCCTCGGCCGCGGGCGCCGCGGGCCCAGAGGACCCGAGAGGTGGCGGCAAGTCGGTCCTGCACAACATCAGCTTCGTGGTGAGGAAGGTGGGTCCGGACCTCCAGGCTGGCCCGTCCCTCCGCTGGGCTGGGCGACACACAGCCACGCCTTCGCAAGGCCCCGGGGCATTCAGGTTGGGCTGGAGGCGGGGCGGGATGTCTTTAACCAGGTGGCTTTCTTCTCTGAATTTTTGTTGTTATTGTTTCTTGGTTTGTTTTGTTAATCCTCACCCGAGGATATTTTTTCTATTGGATTTGAGAGAGTGGAAGGGAGGTGTGGTGGGCTGGCACGGCCATGGCATACTCAGCCCCAGGGCGCCTTATGTGCCGCCAGCTCAGCCTGGTTCATTGGCCCTGAGAGGGGGCGGTGAAGGATTAGAAAAGACAGGCAAGAGAAGAAAGCTGGGTCTGGGTGGGACGCTGCTCCCGATGGAGAGACAGCCCCATGGGCTACAAGCCGTGTCTTTTTTTTATAGCAGATCCCATGAGGCAAAGTCAGGGCGTGGTCAAGATGTTTACAACATTCTCGTGGTTTCAATCCTACTCAATTACATGCACCTGAACTCTATCAAGCCCACATCACTCAGGCACACGGGGCCTCGTTTGGACCATACGGTCAAGCTTACAACTACAGCTGTTGGCTGTAATTGTGCTGGGAGGGCCCTGCCCTCCAAGCTGGGACTTGCACGTGGCCATGAGAGGACTGTGCCCTCTCCTCAGTCCGAGGCTTGAACCTGTCCAAACACTGTGGACGCTCCCCACAACGAAGGGTAGAGACAGAGAGACACATTGATGTGAGAGGCACATCCATTGGTTGCCTCCTGCACACACCCCAGGGATCAAGCCTGCCACCCAGGTACATGCCCTTGACGGGAACTGAACCAGCGACCCTTCAGTCTGTAGGCCGACACTCTTACCGCTGAGCCACACCGGCCAGGGCACTTCCCGAAATGTTAAAACTATGGACCCGCACAACGGAGTCGTCCTCTCCGAGCTGAGAGAAGGTGGCGGCTATGTCAGTGCCGACCTGCAAACCCTGAAGGACCTGGAGCCCACGTCCACGTGGACTACACCGTCCAGCAGGTGGTCGGGCTCAAACGGACGGGCTTCCATAAGCGTTCTCAGTCGTGCTCTTACTTTGACATGGGGCACACGGGCGGCTCACAACAGCTGGCGTTCATGAGCAGGTACACACTCAACTCTTTCGACACCTCCTCACCCTGCGAGGTGGGCGCCACGGCTACCCGGCTCATGGTCAGGAGCCTGAGGCACGGGCAGCTAGCCCCCAGGCGCCTGGCCGGGCCTGCTCTTCGCCGCCCTGTAGTGCTGCTCCGCTTAAAAGCAAAGTGCGACCCACACGCAGCCAGTCTGGGAGGCCAGCCAGGGCCCGGGGCGCTGCCCGCCCGTAGGTTGCGAGACGGAGTCTGTATTTTATTTTTAACAAGTGACTCATCAGAAGCCCAGGCCTCAGGGGCTCTCTGCCGAGGACAGGGAGGAAACGGCACTGAGACGGCCCCAAGCGGTGGCACGACTCACAGAACGGCCGGGTGCCCTGGGCCCGCTGGTGCCCGCACCCCCCGCTTCCACGTGGGTCTCTGGCCGGGGCCGTGTCCGGGAGGACCCCCCCCCCCCGAGACCGGTGTCTTTCCGGGAAGGCTTCCCCAGCTCCCCGTCCCGCGTTCCCGTGGTGTGCACCCCACACGCTGCGAACCTCTCCTACTCTGCTTGTTCACTGTCCGCCCCAACGAGCATCACCTCGATTAGCTTTCCTCTCCTGGAGCCTGGGCGCAGGACAAGCCGCGCGTCCAGGGAGTGTGTCCCGGGCCAGCGCGAGGCTGCTCCGCACCAGTGCCCGCAGCGGGCATCTCCAGGCCCTCCCGGCGCCGGCAGGGCGCAAGGCGGGGGGCGCTTCACTAACACTCGGGTCCCTGCATCCTCCCCGGCTGAGTCCGGCTGGGTCTAGGGTTGCACCACCACCACCTGGAGCCACCGTGGTCCCCACCTGCACAGTGCGGAGGCGACACCTTTGTCCCCAGGCCCGGTGAGAACAGGGGAGCAACAGCGTCTCTTTCCTGTTTCTCTGCAGGGGAAGGTCCTGGGGATCTGCGGGAACATTGGGAGCGGGAAGAGCTCCCTCCTCGCAGCCCTGCTGGGCCAGGTGAGCCATGCGGGGGGCACGCCGCGATGTCAGGGCCCCTGCTGCTGTGTGCTGGGTCCGTGAGGACAGCGGCCCCAGCAGCCGGGCACAGAGTGAACGGTCATGCTCGTGAGGCTGATGTGCTTGGCAGCCAGCAGCGGGCCCCTCGGCTGCCTCTTCCAGAACGTTCCTGCCTGGCCCCCTGCGGGTGTTTGACGTCGAAGCCCTCGGCCTGCACGGTCGGGCTCTGCAGCCCGTGGATGAGATAGTGTCCCCCTCTCGCGCCCTCAGGATTAAAGCTCACGGGAGAAGGGGCGCAGGCATCCAATGGGCCCGGGAGCCGTCGGCGGGTCAGCTCTGAGGGCCCTGGTTCTGTGCCTGCAGATGCAGCTGCAGCAGGGGGTGGTGGCGGTCAGCGGGACCCTGGCCTACGTGTCCCAGCAGGCGTGGATCTTCCACGGGAGCGTGAGGGAGAATATCCTGTTCGGAGCCAAGTACGACCACCAGAGGTAACGCTCACGCAGGGCAGGAGCCGCCCCGTTCGGGGCCCTCCGCTGCGGGAGCCGACCGGACTGGACGCACGGGCGCCGGTGGTCCCCTCCCTGACCCGAGTCCAGGAGGCGCCCCTGCAGGCCTGGGTCGCGCTCCAGGACACGTGGAATGGGCGCCGGGCTCCCGGGCTCCGTCTCTGCACGTGCTGTCCGGCTGTAGGAAGGTCCGTCTGGCCGTTCCGCGTGGGGCCAAGGACCCACGACGTGGCTTGAAGTCGAGCAGCGCTGAGCAGGGACCTGGCCGTGGGCCACGGGACCTGCTGCTGCTGCTGTCCCACAGCGGCCGAAGGGAACGAGCGCAACCTTCGAGTCCTGACTCTGCAGACACCGGGGCCCCGGCCTCCCAGCTCTGCTTCCCCGGGTTCTTCACCGAGTCTGGGGGGCGGCCCGGTCCAGTCTCTCAGGAGTTCCAGAACCACCCATTTAGGGGGATCCTGGCCGCGAATCCCCGTCTCTCACCCAGGAAGAGGCTGGGGCCCAGAGAGGAACGTTGACCTGCCCAAGGTCAAAGCTATTGAAGGGCAGAGCGGAGGCTTGAGGCCCCTCCTCTGACTCCCAGGAGCAGTGCCGGCCGCTGGCGTCCACCCCCCCCCCCTCCCGTGGTGGGAACCCTGAGGAAAGGGCAGTCCGATCCCCTCTATCAGCTGGAGGTGGGCCCAGGGTCCGGGGGCAGCTGCCCTTGGACATTCAGGACAAAGCGCTGGCCACGCCCTCCCTTACCCAGGGACCACAGCGGTGTCTCCGGTGCAGCCCGGGCGGCGGGTCTTCCTCACTGCGCTGACCTCTGACCCTCACGCCCACAGGTACCAGCACACGGTGCGAGTCTGCGCCCTCCAGGAGGACCTGAGCAGCCTGCCTTACGGGGACCTGACCGAGGTGAGCGGGGTGGGCTCGGCCCCACGGCGGCATCGGGCAGCCCGACTGCCCAGGGCCAAAGGGCAGCCTAGCTCTGTCCACACCCGATGCCCTGCGGCCAGAACGGTGCCAGGACATGCGGGAAAGTCAAGTCCCCCGTCTCGGACTCTCATCTGGGCCTGTGCTTGGGGGATGTCACAGCGGAGGTGGCACCAACCCCACCTGTGTTGGCTCCAGCGTGGCCGCCCCTGGGACCACTTCCCATCTCCTCTGGAGAGGCAGCCAAGGGTCCTGCTGCTGGCAGCCGAGCACGTCAATCTCACACTGCCCGCTTCCCCAGGTAGCCCCATCCTCTGAGGAGGGGGGCCAGGTGCTGGTCTGTGGCTGGTCTCAAGGGCCCCTTTCTGCCTCACTGCCTCTGTGGGCCCAGGACGACCAGGTCCCCTCCAGACACTGCCCAGATGCTGGTCCCTCTGCTCCCAGCCACGCCTCCCTCCGGGGAGCCTGCCCCCCTCCCCGAGCTTCCTGCCCTCCACTCTCTTGGGGCGAGCGATCCAGACGCAGCCCCTCCCGATGGGCCTGCACCTGGGACGGTGAGCCAGGCGCCCTTCACTCGGTGCTGGGAAGAGCTGTGCCCCAGTCACCTCTGCCCACGGGCTCCCAGCACCCCCGGCGCCTGGGTGCTGTTGGGGTCCCTGTGGGGAAGGGGGGAGCTGGGGGAATGGTGATGAGCAGGAGCACTGCCTCGTCCGCAGATCGGGGAGCGGGGCCTCAACCTCTCGGGGGGGCAGAGACAGAGGATCAACCTGGCCCGCGCCGTCTACTCGGACCGCGAGGTCTACCTGCTGGACGACCCGCTGTCGGCCGTGGACGCCCGCGTGGGGCAGCACGTGTTCGAGGAGTGCATCCGGAAGACGCTCCGCGGCAAGACGGTCGTCCTGGTGACACACCAGCTGCAGGTGACCGGACGCCCTTGGCATGGGTGTGGCACCGGCGCTGCGGTCTCCTCTCCAGCCCTGGGCTGTCCTCAGCCGGACAGTCAGGGAGGCAGCAGGGCCAGGGACACGTGGCTGCTCTCAGGCAGCCGGCGCTCACTGCAGTGGCTTTACCCCCCCACAGTTCCTGGAGTCCTGTGACGAGGTCATTTTGTTGGAAGATGGAGAGATCTGTGAGAAGGGAACCCACAAGGAGCTAATGGAGGAGAGAGGGCGCTACGCAAAGCTGGTGCACAACCTCCGGGGGCTGCAGTTCAAGGTAGCGGCCTGCGGGGACCTGGGGCACGGGGCCTGGGCGCCCGGATCGGGCCTCCCCTCAGGCGTCCGGCTGGGGCAGGTCTCTCGCTGCGCCTGCAGAAGGCACTGGTTCTGTCCCCAGGACCCTGAGCACATTTACAACGCGGCGATGGTGGAGGCCCTGCAGGAGGGCCCCACGGACAGAGATGAAGGTGCGGTCCGAGCTGAGCTGGAATCACGCCTCTGGTGTTACCTGGGGCTCAGCGGGCACAGACCCCTCCCTTTCTCACCCTAGTTCTGGCTCCCGATGAGAAAGAGGAAGGAAAAGAATCCGACACGTACTCAGAATTCATAGACGTCAAAGGTGCGTGCCACCCATTCCCTCAGCTCTGCGCGCCTCCACGTTGGCTGCGCTACCAAACAAAATCAAAGGAGCGGAAGTGTTTTGGGAATGTGAAGGCGCAGGGAAAGGGCAGGAGGGGCGGTGCCTGCCCTGGGGGAGGCCTGGGGAATCGGGAGGGTCCCCTGGCCCACAGCCCCCCTCCCCCAGGGGAGCCCAGGACTGGTGTTTGTCCCCACAGCCCCTCTGCACCAGCTTGTCCAGACCCAGCCCTCCCGGGAAGGAGCCGTGACCTGGAGGACGTATCACACGTACATTAAGGCGGCTGGAGGTTTGGCATCAAACAGGTTTCCTGATGTACTTTGCATTTAAAAGTGCTCCTTCTTAGACGCCTGGGTTCACATGTTTACGATTTCTTTAATGATTCGACTCGTTAGGCGAAGGCTGTTTATCAATGCTCCCCCCACACTCCCCCCCGCCCCCCAAGAATATCAAGTCGGACAATACGGCTTTTCCCACAGCATCGCCCTTTATGGCTGTTCAGGCTGCTGGGCTCTGTCTGGGGGAAGGAAATGGGGGGCGGCAGTGTACCCCAGCGGTGCGCCTCCGTGGCCACCTCTCCGTCGCTGAGCGCTCCCCACATCAGCTCGGGGCGCAAAGCACTTAGACAGTCATCCCCCTTCGCTCCCAGCAAGACGGGGCGCTCCCTGCTTGTCCCTAAAGAATTCAGAGTCACTTCTATGTTAGTGCATATTGATGGTTTTTCCAAAAGTTAACAACTTGGACCTACTTTCCAACCAGGCGGCCAGGTGCCCCCACGTGGGTTCAGGGGTGCAACCCCCAGACCCGTCCGCCAGCCTGAGGGTGGTTCCCAGGGCGGGGCCTCTCCCGGCAGCTTCATCTCCATCAGGCGGGGCCCAGGGAGCCGGCTGCGCCCGGCAGGCACCGCGGCCTCTCCTCCCTGCAGGCTACCTCCTCTCCCTCTTCACCGTGACGCTCTTCCTCCTCATGATCGGCAGCACCGCCTTCAGCAACTGGTGGCTGGGCTTCTGGCTGGACAAGGCCTCGGAGGTGAGTGGCCCTCGGGCACCGGCAGACGCTGAGGAGGTGGCTCCCGGGAGCCGGACCCCACCCGACGCCACGCGAGCTCGTCCTCCGCTTGTGGCTCCTGCTCACCCCGCGCGGTTCAGAACCTGAAACCCCTTCCACTTTTTAAGACAAAGGGCATCGGGGTTCTGTGTGCCACCTTCCGTCTTCCTTTTTAAATCTATTTTTATTGGTTTCAGAGAGGAAGGGAGAGGGAGAGGGAGAGAGGGAGAGAAACATCAATGTGGGAGAGAATCATGGATGGGCTGCTTCCTGCTCGCCCCCCACTGGGGATGGAGCCCGTAACCCAGGCATGTGCCCTTGAGCGGAATAGAAACCGGGAGGTTCTACGCTCCGCAGGCCAACGCTCTATCCACTGAGCTAAACCGGCCAGGGCCCACCGTCCATCTTTAAAGGACCGGCCGAGAAGGTGTGAGGCAGACCAGCAGGTCGGTGGGTCACGAAGGTGCAGGACAGGGTCCGTTCTGCAGCCTCAGTTGTAAGGGCCACAGAGGGCGCTGGAAGCCTCAATCAGGTCTTCCTGCCTCCGAAGGGGAACTGGCAGCGTGTGGTGGACCCGGCCCCGTGCAGAAGGCTCCACCCTCCCTGGCTCTGCTCCCCAAAGTCCATCTGGGGGTGCGCAGGCCCCTGGGGGTCTCTGCCTCCGAGGCTGTCATCTGGGCCGGGCCCCTCCTGGGGAGGACGGATACGCCTGCTCTCGCTCCAGCTCGCCCACTGTCAGCCAACGCCCTCCCAGCTCTCCTGGAGCCCAGGGGGCGCCATGGGGTGGCCTGCTCCTCTGCCAAGGTTACATTTGGGCACAGCCCTGTTGCCGTGACAACCAGTGAGGAGGCACTGGGGGATGCGGGCAGAGAGAGGCGTGGCAGCCCCTGGAGTCGGCCGTTCCCAGGGGAGCAGCAGGGGAGGCCGCTCTGTGCTGCTGGAAAGCCAGCCCTGCAGCCCCTCCCAGGCCTGGCGCTCTAGAGAGCCTCTCCCTGGAGAGCCCGGGGGGGGGGGGGGGCGGGCCCGGGGCAGGCTCCTCCTGGGCAGTGCCAGTGGCTGACCGAGCAGGCAGAGAAAGCAGACCCGTGTCTGCCCGTCCCCCACACGTGGGGCCCAGCCGAGGCACCGTGAGGCCTCTCCTTTGTTAGCCCCCGGGGTGCGCTTGCTTTGAGGGGTGCCGGCCCCTCTGGCTTACACCGCAGGCGCTGTCCCCCGCAGAGCAGCCTTTGGAGAAAGATGCTCCTTTGCCCCCCAAAGGCAGGCGTGCCTTTCACACGCGGCTCGCAGAGAAGCGGGACGGCCAGTGTCTCCGGAGGGAGAGACGGATGGCCTCTCCCCAGAACTGTTGCAGACGTGGGGCTCTCCCTGGCGGATGGAGCCACGCGGGCTCCCTGGCCATGCACCGGGGATTTCAGGACGGACAGAGGCCTGAGCACAGGAAGGGGAGGGGCCTGGCGCTGGCCTACCACACCCGGACCCGGACCCGAGACCTGCCTGCCCAGGGCCGGGGCCTCCCCAAGGCCTGCTGGCTCCTGCCGGGCAGCTGCGAGGGGGCACATGTCCTTGCTCCTGTCCCCCTCCTGGCCCGGCGTCACCTCCGGCGTCCTGAGGCTCAGCTGGCTTCTGGGACAGCCGCCCTGAGCCTGCCAGGCTGGTCTGCCTTCCCCCGGACCGTGCCCAGCCTCCTAAGCCAGGTGCCCCTTGGGGTCCTGGGGACCCGTGCAAAGCACAGGCACCCCCAAAGGGCACGGACTCGGTTTCACCCCGACTCACTCTCCACAGTAACAGCCTCTCTTTCATCCCCGCTTTCTGGGAGACGCCCACGCCCCTGGCCGTTCACCGCTGCTCGGGGATTTTCTTCTCGCTTTTCTCCAAAGACGACCTGTGGGCCGCAGACCAGCAACGGCCCGTGTGAGATCGGCACGGTGCTGGCCGACACCGGGCACGGCGTGTACCTGTGGGTGTACGCAAGCAGCATGGTGTCCGTGCTGGCGTTCGGCATCACCAAGGGCTTCACCTTCACCAAGACCACCCTGATGGCGTCCTCCTCGCTGCACGACCGCATGTTTGACAAGGTGCGCCCGGGGCCCCTATGTAACCGCGGGGTCAGCCACGGGCTCACCGAGCACCGGCGGGTCCGGGCGCTGTGCTGGGCTCAGGGAACTGACCGTGCGCCTGGGAAGCGCCTCCCAGGACCTACTTACCAACATGGGAGCAAACCCCAGGGAACTCGGGGGGGGGGGTGTCATGGGCCCACAGCCAGGCTGGGGGTGCCCAGGAGGATCCCCGAGGAGGCCGCACCGAGCAGACACGAGAGGGCCAGAGGGCGCCTCCTGCTCCAAAGAGCCCTGGTCCATCGAAAGCCCCAGGAAGGGCCTGGCCGGGGCAAGTTTAAGGGGAACAGCTTCCTGTGCCCCCGAGCACAAGATCCCTCCTTCCTCCAAAGGGGCCACGGGCTGCGCCGGGTTTGGAGGGGAGCTGCGTGCACACGGAGGCCACAGAAGGGGGCACCCTCCCCTGCCCAGCACGCCTCCGCCTCATGTGGGCCCTGGAAGGAGGGTGGGGCCCTGCGCTCACCACCCCAGCCCAGCAGGGGGGCGAGGTGTGACAGACACGCCCCCCAGCCCCAGACTCTCCCACGGCGGCGCCCGCAGATCTCGCAGAGCCCGATGAGCTTCTTCGACATGACGCCTAGCGGCCGGCTCATGAACCAGTTCTCCAAGGACATGGACGAGCTGGACGTGAGGCTGCCCTTCCACACGGAGAGCTTCCTGCAGCAGATCTCCCTCGTGGCCTTCATCCTCGTGGTCCTGGCCGCCGTGTTCCCCGCTGTCCTCCTGGTGCTGGCCGGCCTTGCCGTGGGCTTCCTGGTGCTTCTATGGTAGGTGGAGGCGCCGCGTTCCGAGGAGGAGCACGCCGACCACTCAGGTCTGGTCCTGCCACACAGCGACCGGCCGTCGTGGGCGGCAGTGCTGCGTCCTGTGTCCTGGAGCCACACCCAGGGCAGCTGCGCCCCGTGGAGGGTTCAGTTTTAAAGTTGGCTCCTGCCCGGCTGGCGTGGCTCAAGGGTTGAGCATCGGCCTATGAACCAGGAGGTCACGGTTCCATTCCCGGTCTGGGCACAGGCCCAGGTTGTGGGCTCGATCCCCAGTGGGGGGTATGCAGGGGGCAGCTGGTCCATGACTCTCTCTCATCACTGATGTTTCTCTCCCTTCCTCTCTGAAATCAATTAAAAAATATATAAAAAGTCAAGCCGGCTCCCAAGGCCACCAGAAGGTTTGCTCAGCACGACCTTCGCCGCTGCCTTCAGAAGCCACACACCGGCTGGCGCAGGGCGCTTCCTCCCTAATTGGGAAAGATCCCTTTCCCTCACGCCCTCGCTGGCGGCTATATTTAGAGGCTGCGCCGTAGGAAAGATGCTTCTCTAAGACTAAGCGGCATCTCTCGTGCGGGGAGCCTCACACCGAGGAGCACACAGAACTGAGACCACGGGGGATGGTGCTCATTTCTGGACCCACACTTACAAGAGCCCCCCCACCCCCACCCCCGCCACACACACACAGAGCGGCCCCTCCTGGAGAAGGGGGGAATCCGGGTGGGATGAGGGGACCCCTGAGCCGCCCTCCACCCTCTGCTCTCCCCGCAGCGTCTTCTACAGAGGAGTCCAGGAGATCAAGAAGGTGGAGAATGTGAGCCGCTCCCCCTGGTTCTCACACATCACCTCGTCCATGCAAGGCCTGGGCATCATCCACGCCTACGACAGGCGGGAGGACTGCATCACCAAGTGAGTCCTGACCCGACGGGAGGTCACAGCCAGGCAGGCAGGGCTGCTCTGGGCGCCTGGGGGCCCGCCGGGGAGGAAGAGGCGGCAGAAGGGAGGAGGAGCCCTGGCAGACACCCACCCTTCTTCCCCGCGTCTGGGGCCCCAAAGATGTGAGCTCCTTCAGTGACCACCTCGGCGTGGTGTGTGACATATTTTCACACTGAAAGCAAAATGTGTTCAACTCAGGAAGCCAGGAGACAACAGGAAACAGAAAAATAGAAAGCCAAGCACAGGCCCCCGCACCCCAAATCCTGGTAATACCGTCACGCATTTCCTTCCAGTCTCTTCTTCCTCCTGGAATGCTCACGACCACTTTTGGCAGCTTTTATTTTCCAGCAGCCTCTCCTCTCTCATGTTATGGCACAGTCCTTGTCAAGGTCATTTCAAAGGCACTTAGTGGGCAGACCAGTGTCCTGCCTTATAAAGTGGGGGCACCCGATCAGAAAGTCTCTCGGGCGTCTTGCAGGGCCAAACTTCTAAAACACAAGGAAATCACAGGTGAGCGCTGGTGCCAATCACGGTTCCTCCCTGTGGGAACAGCAAAGCCAAGTTCTCGGAGCTTTGCTCCTCCTCCAGTCGCAATGAGTGGGGTCCATGCAGGGGAGGGGCGGTGCTCCGGGCTCCATACACCGGCTCCTTCCAGGGGCACTTCTCCATCCATCGCCAGGGCTCTGGGCATAGTCCCCAGGGTCCTGGAGAGAGATCTGGGTGGAGGACCCAGGTGACATTTTTATTGGTCCAACCCCAGTGAAGATGCTCATCATTTCTGCACATTCACTGGCCAGAGTTCAGTCACATGGGCTCACCTAACTGCAAAGGAGGCTGGGAAATGTAGTCCAATGGTGTCCATTGGCAGACCAGAAAACGGAGTTTGGTGAATCTAGAGCCATCTCTGTCACTTAGATCTCTGGTGGTTTTGTTTCTTCTGACTCCCAACAGGTACTGAGGGCCTTCTTGAGCTCTTCACAAGATCCTGGGTGACGAGTTTTTGTTTTTTATCTCTTCCTTCCCTAAAGGCCCGACACACACTTGAACGCTTGCATCTAATTCTCTTTCCCTCCCTGCCCTTGGCCACCCAGGATCTCCATGGGGCTTGGCATCCTCGTCTTTGGTTCAGTCATCAGCTAGTCCTGCCACCAGCGTGACTGAGAGTCATGCGTCCACAGCCCGCACCACACAGGGGGCCTCCCAGTGTCTGTCCGAGGCGCCGTTCCCGACTCCCAACAAACGGAACAGGCCCCAGCCCCGCGTCCTCAAGGCCTCGGCGAGGCTCGGGGGGGGGGGGGGGCCCTGCGTGACTGACGGGTCTCCCCTCTTTCAACACCCTCTGGCCTGTCGTGAACTTTCTGGAGCCCTTTCTGGGAAAAGTGCTGCTTCTGCTAACAGACAGACATGCTAACCACGCATGGGCCAGAGGCGTGGGGTCAGACTCCACTTTGATCCCTGCCAGGGATTCTGCATCTGCAAACCTACCCACCCTCACAGCTGAGACCCCGGGTGACGACGGCCAAGTCCCTGAAGCTGTCAGTGGCGTCTGTAGGTTGTATAGCGACACCACAGAAACACCATGGTGTCTGCAAGCATCTCTGGCCGAAGCTCTGGGGACCGGCAGAAGGAGGGGCCGCAGGACCCCGCCCGGCTGGCCAGAGGGGCCTCGGAAGAGAACCCCGGAGCAGCCTTGGACAGGAGGGAGCAGCCTTAGGACAGGAGGGAGCAGCCTTGGACAGGAGGGAGCAGCCTTAGGACAGGAGGGAGCAGCCTTAGGACAGGAGGGAGCAGCCTTAGGACAGGAGGGAGCAGCCTTGGACAGGAGGGAGCAGCCTTAGGACAGGAGGGAGCAGCCTTGGACAGGAGGGAGCAGCCTTGGACAGGAGGGAGCAGCCTTGGACCGGAGGGAGCAGCCTTAGGACAGGAGGGAGCAGCCTTAGGACAGGAGGGAGCAGCCTTAGGACAGGAGGGAGCAGCCTTAGGACAGGAGGGAGCAGCCTTAGGACAGGAGGGAGCAGCCTTAGGACAGGAGGGAGCAGCCTTGGACAGGAGGGAGCAGCCTTAGGACAGGAGGGAGCAGCCTTAGGACAGGAGGGAGCAGCCTTAGGACAGGAGGGAGCAGCCTTAGGACAGGAGGGAGCAGCCTTGGACAGGAGGGAGCAGCCTTGGACAGGAGGGAGCAGCCTTAGGACAGGAGGGAGCAGCCTTGGACAGGAGGGAGCAGCCTTGGACAGGAGGGAGCAGCCTTGGACAGGAGGGAGCAGCCTTGGACAGGAGGGAGCAGCCTTAGGACAGGAGGGAGCAGCCTTAGGACAGGAGGGAGCAGCCTTAGGACAGGAGGGAGCAGCCTTGGACAGGAGGGAGCAGCCTTGGACAGGAGGGAGCATCCTTAGGACAGGAGGGAGCAGCCTTGGACAGGAGGGAGCAGCAGAGCCACAGGAGGGGCCGTAGCGCTCTGGGTGGGGGGGGGGGGATAAATGTTGAAAGGCTTTCATTTCCCCCCAATAGTTTCTGCCAGCTGTCCCACGCAGGTCAGGGAAACGTCAGTGGCAACTGGATCCCATGTCTCTCTTGGTTACGGTTAGCTCAGTTCGGTTAAAATTTCCCTCCTGAATGTATGAAAGACACAGCCCCCTCTCCCCAGGGCTGGGCCAGGTCAGGCTGTGCTGAGCGCACGTGTCCGGCACGGAGGGGGCGGGGCGGGGGGAATGAGGGGGGGAGGGCAGCTGGGAAGCACCTGGTCTGTTCTCTTACACACCCTCTCCCTTCACCCCTGTGCCCACGACAGCAGATTTCAAAGAGCGAGGACAGATGTCCGTTTCTGTAAAAGCGCGTTCGCCCTTGAGGAACGCCCTGGCCTGCCCTGCTTTCTCCAGAAACCAGGACCCTGATCCATGGCCGCCCCCCTGACCCCGTCTGCCCGTCTCCTCATTTCAGGTTTAAGATGCTCAACGACGAGAACTCCAGCCACCTCCTGTACTTCAACTGCGCCCTGCGCTGGTTCGCCCTGAGGATGGACGTCCTCATGAACATCGTCACCTTCATCGTGGCCCTGATGGTGACCCTGAGTTTCTTCTCCGTCAGCGCCGCGTCCAAAGGCTTGTCGTTGTCCTACATCATCCAGGTACCGCCTGGTGTAGGGGAGGGCTTGGCCTGGAGGCTCTCGCATAGAGTGCGCGAGGGCGGGCGGGCCTGAGAGAAAGCAAAGCTGGAATGGGGTCAGTGGAGAGCACTTAGCGGCTCGCATCACTCAAAGGCCTGGCGACTGAGTGGGCCTCCACCGTTTCCCGTTTCCTTTCTTGTATCAGAGTCTCCTGTTCTTGTCTTTCATCTCCCCTCTGGGAACTTGCCTTAGCCTGGCCGTTCGGCCATTCCATTGACTTGTGCGTATGGCAACCATATGTCCAGATGCTCAATTTCCACCCACTCTCAGGGAGTGTTTGAAAGAACCCCCTTTTAGGCGGCTGCCTATGTATGTTTAATGTCCCCGAGTGTATTAACGAGAGGCCCCTCCCTCCCAGGGCTGGTTCTTTTCTTTACCCGGTCCCTGCGCGTCTGTGCCGTGGGTTGCATTTGTAGGATTCTCGATCCGTTTGTGCTTGAGGAGGAGGGCTGGGCAGGCGGTGTTCAGGGCTCCCCTGCTTTTGTGTGGCCTGGAGGGGTCTTCGCAGGCTGGCCTCCTTCAGGTGTCAGCCGTGGGCAGGGTGCCTGTGGGTGACCTTATGAAACCACACCCCCAGTCTGGGCCCAGATTCTCCCACTTGGGAAGCAAGCAGCGGGGCTTGGTGCTTACTTGCACCTGATCCCCTGTGATGCCTCCGGGCTGCGGGGGGTGGGGGGTGGGGTGGGGTGTGTGTGTGTGTGGTGGTGGTGGTGGTACGGCAGGGAGGGCAGGGAGGTACGGGACACCCCGGGGCAGCTAGGGGCCCATGGCCGGCTGTCTGCAGCCTGGGAATCCGGCTCCCAGCCCGCCGCTCCAACCAGGAGGCGGTGATCAGGTGGAAGGTGGGGGGCTGGCTGTCACCATCTGGAGGCCAGGGAAAAGCAAGCACCATGTTTCTAAACACAGAGGAAGTGTTTGAAGACACACACACCCACCACCGAGCCTCACTGCTGGCACTTGGCTGGGAACCAGGCTGCTGGGTGAGGTGCTGGGAGGGCGGGGCTGGGGGCCGCGGGGCCTGACGGCTGCTTGCTCTCGCCTCAGCTCAGCGGGCTGCTGCAGGTGTGCGTGCGCACGGGGACCGAGACCCAGGCCAAGTTCACCTCCGTGGAGCTACTCCGGGCGTACATCTCGGTAAGAGGCCGGTGGAACGTGTTCACCGGCAGATTCCTGGGCTCATCTGATCTTTTTACACGTGAAGGGATCTTTTTAAAAACTGAACTCGGACCACAACCTCTCAAAACCCATGTTTACAACACCATCCGAGGTCCCTGATGTGGAGAGAGAGGTTCTTTCTTAAAAGCAGTTTGCTCAGGGCTGTTTCTGTAGAAGAGAGAAGTCGGTGGCTTACCTTAGACTCACTCTTCTAAGAAAACTTTTATGCCCAACTTACAAATGAAAAGAAGGCTAGTCGAGTCTAGCGATCGCTTTTAAAGGCCTTTCAACAGCATTTGGCCCCTTTACAAACATAACTAAATACTTAAAAACTGCATTTTAAAATGTAATCAATTACCTTTCCTTTTAAGTACCCAGTTATCTGACTTAACAAACACGCCCCCTGAGGTTACACACAGCTAAGAAATGTGGATTTAGGCAACTCACTTACAGCTTTGACTTTGCCCAACAATCCCAATGCTATATATAAACTTACAATCATGTTTAAAGAAACGATTCCATTATGATTTTCAGTTAGAGTCACAGGTCCAAATGTTACTAATATTATGAAACCTTAAAACACCAAACATTCAGATTCCTTAAACTAAAAATATGACTGTGACACGCTGCTTCTCTGAAATACTTTAACTGTTAATCCTACATCTTCCATGGGTTCCAAACACCGTGAGGAAACACAGCCGTCTCCTTGGCTGACTGCTGCTCGTGGACCAGGAATTCGGGCTGGCCGCCACCCCAGGGGGCACCTGGGGGCCTGTTTCTCACCTCCAGCGGGAAGTCCTTAGCTTCGGGGGCGGGGCGCTCTGTCCCTACTTACACTGCACGGACTCTAACGGCCTCTGAACCGACACGCTGCATTCCTGCCCCCTTCCTGCTCCGACCCCGTGTGGACTCACAGACGCAGAGGCTGTGTCGGGGGAACTCCCAGGCCTCCAGGCGGCCCGTGTCCCCTGGGTGACCTAGCTTCCAGGCCGTGAGGGTGCGCTGCGGACATGTGCCCCGGCCCCCGGGACCCCATGAGGTGTCCCCTGTAGTCGCCCAGCGACTCTCCAAGCTTCAGCCACGACGGTTCTCTCTCTTCCTCCCCGCGCCCCAGTCTGTCCTGGCCGCCGGGCCTGTGCACGGGAGACCCTGTCAGATCCCCGTGTGGCGTGGCGGCGCCTTCTCAGCATCCCTGCTCTCAGGCCCCCTGCCCCTGCTGGGGCGCGCATCCTACACTCCATTACACGCCTGTTCTGTCTTCGTGCCGTGTCCTTTCCTCCTCACCACCTCGTTCCCACGGGAAGGGGAGCTTCGTGAGTGCCGGGCCCTTATTGACAGTCGGCCGTGAACTCTCGTACCTGGAACCGTGCTAACGAATGGAGGAGCGAATGGAGGAGCGAATGGAGGAGCGAAGGCGTGTATTAGCCGTCACGTCCCCTGCTTTGCAGACCTGTGCTCCTGAAAGCGCCCAGCCCCTCCCAGCGGGGCCCTGTCCCCAGGACTGGCCCAGCCGCGGGGAGATCACGTTCCGAGACTATCGGATGCGGTACAGGGACGGCACGCCCCTCGTCCTCGACGGGCTGGACCTGCACATCCGGAGCGGGCAGACGGTGGGCATCGTGGGAAGAACAGGCTCTGGTGAGGACAGGCTCCGCCGCGCTTCCAGGTCGGTCCCTGCACGCACGGCGGCGCCCCAGCCGCAGACGGGCCGGGTTCCCCTCAGGTCTCTGCTGTGAATACGGTTCCGGGTTGGATGGGTGTGTGGAGTTGGAAGCCAACACACACCAGTTTTTTAATTAATTACATGAGGACCATTCTGGAGAAACGAGACCCAGAGGAGGAGCCGTGTGCACAGCCACCGCGGCAGGGGCGCTCAGCGTGTCGGGGCGGGTTATCCGTGTTGGGGCGGGTTATCCGTGTTGGGGCGGTCAGCCGTGTTGGGGCGGTCAGCCGTGTTGGGGTGGGTCAGCCGTGTTGGGGCGGTCAGCCGTGTTGGGGCGGGTTATCCGTGTTGGGGCGGGTTATCCGTGTTGGGGCGGGTCAGCCGTGTTGGGGCGGTCAGCCGTGTTGGGGCGGTCAGCCGTGTCGGGGCGGTCAGCTGTGTCGGGGCGGTCAGCCGTGTTGGGGCGGTCAGCCGTGTTGGGGCGGTCAGCCGTGTTGGGGCGGGTTATCCGTGTTGGGGCGGGTTATCCGTGTTGGGGCGGGTCAGCAGTGTTGGGGCGGTCAGCCGTGTTGGGGCGGTCAGCCGTGTCGGGGCGGTCAGCCGTGTTGGGGCACTGCTGGCCCCGGGCGCAGGCAGTTTCTGGCTGCGCACCCTCATGGTGGTTCCCTGCCTGAAAGACGCCCAGACTAGATACTTGGACACGATGGGAGCGTAACCCGGTGTGTGACCTACTGTCCCCGTCCCCAGGGAAGTCGTCGCTGGGAATGGCCCTGTTCCGCCTGGTGGAGCCGGCGGGCGGCACCATCCTCATCGACGGGGTGGACATCTGCTCGGTGGGGCTGGAGGACCTCAGGACCAAGCTGACCGCCATCCCCCAGGACCCCGTGCTGTTTGTAGGTACAGTAAGGTAGCTGTTTGGATCGCTGTGCATCCCTATTTTCCGAGAGTGAAATCAGGCCGCAAGGAACTGTGGGAGGCGCCCATGGCGAGGCCGGCCGGCCAGGCTGCTCTGCCCGGGGGAGCAGCGTGCCCAGGGGCTGGCACTGGCTCCCCAGGGAGGCCTGGGAGGAGCCGCGAACCAGGGCCCTGAACACGACGTGTAGTTTACAGACCCGTCGCTAGCAAGCAGGACGCTTACACGAGGTGAGCAGAATCCTGGCTCATGCCTGCAGCTCAGCGTCCTATCAGGGTTGGCAACAGCCACTCTGAGGAGTCCCGGTCCGGGCACTAACACAGCGGTTATCCACCCGGAACTGTGTCAGAATGAAGTTCCCGGACAAGCACAGCAGGCGGCAGCTTCTGCGGGTTCCAGCCGGCGTGCAGGCTCAGCCGGCCCCTCTCTCGGTCCTGCGAGCGCTGACCCTCTCCTGAGAGGGACGTCTCGCCCCCTGAGCGCAGCGGCCGCACTTAGTGTTGTATGGAAACACCTTCCCTGCACAGACTCCCACCCACAAATGGGCTGCCCGCCTCTGGCAGCCCGGGACTGCAGGCAGTGGACGCAATGGCCCTCACGCTGTTCCCTCCCCTTCCTGTCTGCCGGGAATCTGCAGGTCGATCTCGCTGGGGCTGGGGCCAGGCCGCTCTCACACCCCCTTGGTGGGCTCTGTGGGTCCCGGGTCTCTTGGCCTGAGGTTGGTGTTTGATGGGCCATCGCCCGGGGCTAAGTGAGCCCTGCCCCAGAGCCACTGGGCCCTGACCGCCGCCTGCTCCCCCGCCCCCCGCTGCCCCCTACCCCAGCTGCGGAGCCTGCTCCCCAGGCCTCTCCGTTCCTCACGCAGGTTCAACCTGGACCCCTTCGAGAGACACACGGACGAGATGCTCTGGCAGGTGCTGGAGCGAACGTTCATGCGAGACACGGTAAGGCTCGGGCTGTCCCGGCGAGTCTGCTTCGCCCACGCCCCCGGCACCTGGCCCAGGCTGACACGCGACAAGCCCTGGGCCAGCGTCTGGCCAGGCTTATTTGTTGGCCCCACACATGTGAGGGATACACGCCTTGTCGACGTGCTACGATTAAAAGCAGCAATAGGCAAGATTAGGTCTCTGCCAGGAGTCAGCCAGGACCTCCACCTGTCACAGCACACGGGCCTGGCTGCCGCCTCCTCTAGGGATGCAGAAAGGAAGCCTCGGGGAGGTCAGGTGCAGGCTGGCGAGTGGCAGAATGGAGCCTCGAACCCAGGTCCACCTGACTTAGAGCCAAGGGAGGGCCCAGCAGCTGGGCCGTAGCCTCACCTGCCTCGGGAAGCAGTAAGCCCGGGTGGAGAGGGCGTGGCATCGCCAGGGGCCGCGGGCAGGAGGCTGGCGTGGCCGCCTGTGCAGCCCACGGGCCGTCAGCGTTTCTATTCCGTCCGCGGAAGCGGAAGCCCTGGAAGGAGTTAATCCTGTCTGTGCTCCTCGGCCCATCGGGCCTCATCTGCATTCTCCAGGCGTGGCGATTCTAATGATCAATGTCCGCCCACTCCCCGTCTTCCCCTGGAGCCGCCTGCAGTGCTGAGCGACTGCTGTTTTTCGCTTTCTTTCCCGCCGTAAAATGAAGCCGCAGAGGACGCAGGAGGAGGGGCGATCAATACAGACGGCACAGGACGCTTCCACTGTCTCCAGCGCCAACGGCCTCCCCTGTCTTACAGATAATGCGGCTCCCGGACGGGCTGCAGGCCGAAGTCACGGAGAACGGCGAGAACTTCTCCGTCGGGGAGCGGCAGCTGCTCTGCATGGCCCGGGCCCTGCTCCGCGACTCCAAAGTGAGGGGCCGCGGGGGAAGGTCGCGTTGGGTCAGAGGCACTTGCCGCAGCGCCCTCCACCCGGAGTGGGCGGGGGGGCATCTGTGTCCTTCAGCGAAGAGAGAGCCCTGAGCCCTTGGAAAACCGACCCCTTTTTCTTAAGACCAAGTCGAGAGGGAAAACTGGGCGAGAGCAGCATTTCCGCAACGGCACCTGCCCCTCCGGCCGGTCGCTCCCGGGAGCCCCGCTCTGGGACCCTCTCCGTCCCCCGCTGTCCGGGTCTGAGAAAGCTCCCTCCCAGCGTCTTCCCTTTGTCCCTGAGGTTCGGGGCCTGTACACAGGGCCCGGGACAGTCAGGAGCACGAGGGTCTGAGGATGGCAAGATGCCTGCTGGTTCTGCGTAGGGATGGGGCCAGCCCTGCCTGCGGGCGGAAGGAGGGGTGCTGGTGCCTTAGTCTCTCATCCCTGGGCCCTGGGCGAAGTGGAGCCTTGGGTGTGCTCCCTACGTGCGCTAACGGCAGGAGGGGCAGCCCCTCAGGGCCGACCGCCACGCAGGGAAACCACCAGAGCCCGGAAGCTGAGTGCTGTAGCCAGGGCCGGGCAGACTGGCATCGTGGAGGCAGGATCGTGCCCCAGCCCCCAAGAGGCCCACGCCCTGACCCCCGGAACCGTGTGACCTCACTGGGAAAGGGGCGCCGCCTAGTCCACTAGTCGAGGGTTCTGAGACACGGAGAGTCTCCCGGATTCCCTCCCCCCCCCCCCCAACCCCGGGCCTCATAAGAGGCGGGAGAGGAGGAGATCTGACAAGGGGGTGGAGGTGAGAAGGGTGCCGGGAAGTGGCCGCGGGCAAGGAGCGTGGGCTGCGTCTGGAAGCTGGAGAGGCAAGGGCCCGGTTTCCTCCCGAGAGCATGCAAAAGGAACGCGGCCGGACAACACCGTGACTGTGGGACTTTGTATTTCCAGAGCTGTGAAATAATGCATTTGTGCTGTGTTAAGCCTCTGAGTTTGTGTGAATTTGTAATAGTAGGAAGCTCATGTGAGTGTTGTTGTTAAACTGCATGCTGACTCGCTGTTAGCGTGGGAGACAGTCCCGGGTGCTTCTTCCTACCGGTTTGCAGGATTAGAATAAACCACTTCCAACGAGGAGTTAAGACTACAATCTTGTTCCCCAGCCAGTCCCTCTGAAGAAGATGAAGGTGGTGTGATGTGACTCTTATTTTTGCCATTCCTTTGCTAACCTTTTGAGATGGATACGTAGTACATTACTTTTCAGTCTTTCTAAATCAATCAATCAATCAATCAATCGAGATAAGACTATGAATGTACCTCTAGGTACAGCTTTGGCTTACTGTGGCTTTTACCACGTTTCTTCCTCAACAGATCATTCTCCTAGATGAGGCCACCGCCTCCATGGACTCCAAGACCGACAGCCTTGTGCAGAACACCATCAAAGACGCCTTCAGAGACTGCACGGTGCTGACCATTGCCCACCGCCTCAACACGGTCCTCAACTGCGACCTCGTCCTGGTCATGGAAAACGGGAAGGTACGGTGGCCGGCCATTGGCATCCCCTGGCTTCAGTGGTTTGGGCTCTTGTGGGGGGGCGGGGGGGATATTCTCTGACATACGCAGCTCTCCTTCCCTGACTTCCAGGTGGTCGAGTTCGACAAGCCCGAAGTCCTTGCTGAGAAGCCAGATTCTGCGTTCGCAATGCTCCTCGCAGCGGAGAACAAAGTCCGAGCATAAAGGGCCCAGTGGGCTGAGAGGAGGAGGAGGACCTGGATGGGCCTGCGGGAGGAGGGCCCTCATCCTCGCAGGCAGCCCTGGCCACGGCCCGCCCACCCCGACACAGGCCGAGCTGAGCAGAGGCCCACGCCTCCTGACCTCACTGGGCAGCCTGGGCTGGTTGGGTGGTGAACAGAGGTAGATGAAACTAGAGGGTTAACAACTGCCCCTCACACCCTGAAACCCCAAGGGCCCCTCACTATCCTCATCAGCACCCCCTCCGTGCCTGAAAAATAGCCACTTGCAGTTAAAAACTGGTCAAAGTAAACAGAACGGGCAAATTCCTGGGAGGGAGTGTGCAAAGGTTCCTGCCTTGCTGTCAGGAGGGGAAAGCGGCGTTTCCTCCCGTCTGACTTCTGTCCACACGTCCCTGAGTGTGAGATGCGCAGTAACCACGCGGGTCTGTAGCACGAAAGACGGATTACAGTGTTTAGCAGAAAACCTTTAAAAAAATCATATTGCATGTGCCATTTGATCCATGACAATAACCCGGAGAACAAGATGCTGGAGTTCCTCTATAAATGACATTTTTATGGCTTCTCTGTGGGTCATTAAAATGCGGTAGGAAATGAACCCACCCCGAAATGCCGCCTTGCAATTATTTCCCTGCGGGTTCCGGCGTCTGCAGCCCCGTCTCTCACAGACCCTTGCTTTCTCCACGGGCTCCGCAGGAACCCCACCGCTTTCCCACACCTCACGGTTGGCTGTGACGGAGGCAGGGCCGACATGTTCCCAGGAGCCCGGGAGACGGAGCCGCTAATTCACGGTGACGTTGGGACAGAAGCAAACAGATCGGACGGGCTGTGCCGTGCTCACCAAGGGCCGCCACAGGGACCGTCTCTCTCCTTAGGATCGAAGGCCCAAGGAGCCCTGGTTCCCGGGGAGCAAGGGTTCCCCAAAGGTGCACGGCACTGAGGAATATCTCCCCCCGCTCCCCTGCAGCCCGCGGTCAGGAGGCCTCAGAAAGAACTCGCCCTCAAGTTAACAGATCTGAAAGCGGCCCAGGATTGTTGGTTAAAATGTAAAATGCTCTTTGCTAAGAGCTGGAATCACACTGGCCAGAAGAGCAGGATTTAAAACGAACTGAAAAGGACAGGAGGTCGCTGGGGGCAGACGCACTGAGCCAAGAAATCCCTTCTCTTCCGGATGAGGGCCGCCTCTGGGCGAGGCGAAATCTGGCCCTAACACCCGCACACGAAGGCCTGACTCCGTGACCTGCACGTTCCTGCTCCCGCTGAGAAACGGCCCCTCTGGCGGGACCGGCATCAAAGGGCCAGACCGAGGTCGTTTCCGTGGTTTCAGGCTGGCCTTCCCCTCAATGCCAGGCGCCTCTGGGCCCCGGGCCGCCTCCACCCGGGGAGCCACACCCGGGGAACCTCCGTGTCTCACGTGTCCTTCACAATCTTTTCATTATGTTAACACACAGCCCCCCACGGTCACCCTCTTCGCGCCGCAGTCGGGCGGGGGACGCACTGACCCCCACCATCTCCAGATCTTTCTCATCATCTCATCTGCGGGGGAACGATGAGCCCCCCCTCCCCCGGCGCCGGGGACGGTGATTCTACGTCCTGTCTCCTGGAAGTGGACGCCCCAGGCACCTGCCTTTTCGTGACGGGGCCGCTCCCCTTAGCACTGTGTCCTCGAGGGTTGTCAGCATGTCCCCCGCTGTGCGGCACCCGGGACATGGGAGGGCCTCGCTGTGCCGTGACCGTGTGCCTCACGCCGAGTGACTGGGCACCTTGCCCTGTGCTCCGGCCTCGCCTTTCTCTCAAGGAGGCTGCGCATGGCACCGCGGACGGCTCTGCACGGGAAACGCTGTTCTGCCGCCTCGCCACCTTCCCTACTGCGGCGGCATTTTAAAAAATATGTTATTGATTTCAGAGAGGAAGGGAGAGGGGGAGAGAGAAACATCAATGAGGGGGGAAGTCACGGATCGGCTGCCTGCTGCATGCCCCACACTGGGGATCGAGCCCAAAACCAGTAGCCCTGACTGGGAATCGAACCCTGACCTCCTGGTTCATAGGTCAACACTCAAGCACTGAGCCACGCCACTGGGCCCAGAATGGAACCAGGACTTGAGCTGAACGAAGGGGAAGTGGGGTTTTTCCTTCCTGGACGGTAGGAATCTGTGGGCAGGCCCAGTTGGCAGGCCCTTGCCTGCTGCGGAACTTCATGGGGACAGAGAGAACATTCCACGGCTCCCAGGCCCAGGCCCAAGTTCTCAGGTGCCTCTCTGCCACTGGGACGTCCAGCCCCGTGCTCACGGCTGACCCCCGCCCCGGCCTGTGGTGCATCCTCACCCCCTTGATGAGCGCCTGCTCGGATGCGCGGTCGGGGCACCTTAGATTCCCTACGAAACGACCTGTTGTCTAGCCCGGCAGGCATTGCGCCGCTTCAATGCCTCCTGCTCTGGAATCGATCCTGCTCAAGCCACGTCCTTAGAAAAAACTCCTGTCATTTTCCATTCATCTCAGCGCTGAGTTTCCTGACATAATTGCGGGCCTGGGTGCCTCTGCCTCTGGTCTCACAGCTGGAGGAGGTTGGCGCCTTCCCCAGCCCCCCCCCCCCCCGCGCCCCCCAGTGCGATGCATATCACTGTCTCTGGGAGGTGTGATCCCCTGGGAATCGGCTTATCCACACGCCGCACCTGCAGTGGGAGAACAGCGGCTCCAAGCAGGTCCTGTGACGCAGACGATCCGGTCACCTGCTTCCTGGCAGACGGAGGCCAAGTGCAGCCTGCCCAGGAATTAGAACTGTGATTCCCAAAGAGTGTTCTCGGGAACCCTCGTCCCTCAAGATGAACGGGGAGGCAAGTTAAATTCACGGGGAAAGGCCTCAGACTACTGCCCCTGCTTGGAGACTTGCAGTGCACGTTGGCAGGGTCAAGGCTGGGTTTCCCAAGAGCACTTACTGACACAGTCTCCCGACTCCTAGGGGTGGGGAATGAGCGGGGAAGTGAGGCAGGAAGCCGTGGGGGTGAGCTGTGGGGCGCCCCTGGGAACTGGAGCTGAAGCCCCGCCATGTCACAAGCCTCCAGATGGGCGGGGGCAGGGCCTGGGGCTCCTCAGAGCTGAGCTTCTCCCTTTGTTCAAAGAGCAGAAGCCTGGGTTAGCCCCTTGGGAGCCTACAGATTTGGTTTAAATCCATCTCTCAGAGACGCATGAAGAGCATGAAAGGAAAACCCCAGGTTAGAAGGGAAAAGAACGGAGGCACTTGCCAGAAAAGAAAAAACAAAAGCAAAAGCCCCCACGCAAGCTGAACCCCGCATTCCCGCTCCTGCCCTCTGGCAACCCTCAGCCCGGGTGCAGGTGCTCCCGGGACCTGGTGCCCCCGGCAGGTCCGGGCTGAGAACGCCCTTCCCTTCTGCACGTAGTTCACCGGGTCCCAGCTCTGGACTGGCTCCAGGGAAGAGGACAGGAGGCTGTGCCTGTCGGCCTCCTGCTTCCCGCACATCCCCTTCTTGCGTGTTCCAGCCCACTCGGCGCCACGGAAAACTACATTTCCCAGACTCCCTTGCTCCCTGGGAGGGATGAGAAGAGCCAGTGTTTCTCCCTCTGCCTCTGACAGGGGCTGCGGCTCCTCCAGGGCGTCACCTTGTTCCAGGTATTTCCCAGCAGTGGCCACGGTCCCGCTCCACCCGGAGGCCGGGCTTCCGGACCCTGCAGAGGCCCCCCCTAACCCCCTAAGAAGATAGTGACCTCCTCCCTCTGCTCCCTCCGTCCTTTGCGTGGCGTCCCGGCTCCTGCACTGTCCGCGTTCCCCTGCCCGTGCTACATGCTCCCGCCTGGAAGACCTGGCGCTTCCTGCTGTTCCGACGGGTCCTGATGGGAGCAGTGCTCTGCCTGCGGCTTGGGGATCCCTGGCCTCTGCGACGAGAAGCGACCTGCCCAGGCCGGGCTGCAAGGAGCACGGATCTGGCTCAAACTCACGATCACAAAAGCCACAGAGGCCCTCGATGCCACAGTTCCCAGGACTCCCCCTGCCCTGAGCCAGAACATTCTGGGGTCGTCACTATTACTATTATTATGGACACGGAGCCGAGAGAGGGGGATGCGTCGGACGGCCGCTGGGGGCCCGCACACAGGTCACGACTCCAGGGGCTGTGCTCCGACCACGTCCCTTCCACCGATCCTGACACTCGGCCCACACGTCCCTTCCACAGATCCCCACTCGGCCCACACCACGTAAGCACGGCCCTCGGCCCTGTCCTGGTCTCCTCAGCCCCCCCTGCCGGCCTCGGCTGTGAGCGGAAGCTGGACCCAGGTGTCTGTGCCTTCTAACCAGGCTCACTCCTTCGTCAAGGCTGCGTAAATGGCAGAAACGGCCCGGGGCTGGAGCTCGGCTGTGACTGTGGGCCGCGTCCGTGGGCTGCGTCACGGAGACAGATGCTTCCCCAGCCCAGAGGGACGAGCCACCTGCACTCTCACATCCACATGAGGCTCTGTGGGCCTCGGCAAGGTGCTGGCGAGGCTGGGGGCTCCGCTCGGAACCAGTCAGGCTCATCACTCCCAAGGGATGGGGCCAGGACACCAGCCTCATTAGCAAAAGTCTCAACAACTGCTGCCAACCACCAGCGCAAAGCCCGTTTCTTCCAACGTTTTAGGCCAGAGACTCAAAGGCCGCGTCCCCACAGTCCCCCGGGGGCCGGGCCTCATTACGGAAAGAATCATTGTGGCCACAGCGCCCCAGAACGACACAGTAACTGGGCCTTTTATGCAGCGTGGCCTGGGACACGGAGGAACTGGGTTATTCCCAGAGAGTGCGCTCTGCTCACGTCCGTCCTGCCAAGAACCCCGCCTGCAGCCGCTGGGAAGTCACCAGGCGCCTTGTAGGGAAGGAGAGAGTCTGCCAAGATCCAAGTGCGCTGACCCGAATTCTTCCCGGAGCCACTGCCCGTGCGCCACGAAGCGCGGCTGTTTCAGGCCCTGATTCCCCCCTGGTCACCCGCACCATCAGCCCCCCTCCCGCTCCGCCCGGACAGGGTTCACGGAGCCCGCGGGCCGGGCGGGCACTGGCTTCCGTGGCACGTACCCTGGAGCAGCTGGCTGGGAAGCCAGGGCCCACATCCGGATTCCGGCCAACCCGGCAAAAGCCAGCCAAGCATCTTCCGAGGCTCCGGGGGTGGTGGCCCCTCAATTCTCACGCCTGGCTGCGCGCAGGCTCCCCTGGGGAGACTTGGTTCACAGACCAGAAGACGGGGCTCGCCCCTCAGGGACCCACAGATCTGGTTGAAATTAATCTTCCAAACCAACTACACCCCAGCCCTGGCCGTGGCACCCGGCACTCATGTGTTTTGAAGAAGCTCCACCGGAGACGCTGATGTGCAGCCGGCGCCAGAAGAGCTGTCGCACGGAGTGTTCTGGAAACGGTGGGGATTGAAACGGGAAGGCCTGGCCTCCAGGCACTCGCTGCCCAGGGAGGGAGATGAAGTGCAGTTCAGTAACGACCCGTGGGAATGACGAAATAAAACAGCAGCGCAGGAGACGTTTCAGGGCAGCGCTTACTGGGAGAGGGAGAGGGGGAGAGGGGAGGGGAGGGGGAGGGGGAGGGGGAGGGAGGGGAGGGGAGGGGAGGGAGGGAGGGGGAGGGGGGAGGGAGAGGGAGAGAGAGAGAGAGAGGACTTGCAGGGGGAGTGGAAGGGATAGAGTTCAGAAGACGTGAGCCATGAGGAGGCTGAGTGCTCTGTGGGGAGACTGGAAACAGAGGAGGAACTCAGAGAGCGGGGGGGCCGTTCGCTGAAGTGGTCTCACGGCTGCGGGAAGGCAGGCGGAACTGTGGTTCCCAGGAGCGGGGCGGGATGCAGGCTGGACTGACTGAGTGGGGGTCAGCAGGCCTGCACTGACAATGGCCCGGAGCCTGCTGCGTGGGAGATTTCTAGAACTGCCTCGCTGTGGGTCCCTGACCTTTGCAGCGATGGAGAACAAAGCCTACAGCCAGCAATGCCATGTTACCTTGTGCACTGGGAAATGGGAAATTTGTTAAGGAGGTAGATCTTCTGTTAGATTTTTTGCCACGAAAAATAGGGGGGGCGGGCATAGGAAATGTGGCTGTGGTGATGGTCGCACGGGGTGTGCACATGCCGAACTCATCAGACCCTATCCATTCAACGTGCAGGCCTCGGGACCTCAGCTGTGTCTCAATAAAGTGGTTTTTAAGAAAAGACAACGGCCTTGACCGGAGCTAAGTGCTTGGCCTCCACCCTGTAGGTAAGGAGGAGCTTGGTTTCTGAGCAGGCGAGTGAGGAGCGCTGAGATTTCTGACTTCCGTTCACCGGGGTTTGGATCTGTAATGTGATGAGACGTGGTGGGCGCTGGAGAGGACGGGAAGGGTGGGGGAAAGAGGGCATTCAGAGGGCGGCTGTGTTATCTCAGGAATGAGAACTTTGACCAAGACAAAGCTGCGCAGACAGAAGAAGACAGAGGAAGAGTCAACAGGTCCTAGTGGCCCCTGAGATAGGACTGCTCCCGCCGGCGGCTGACTGAGTGGCGGTGCCATTAACCACATGGGAAGGCGGCCAGGGTGGGGAGGATGGAGGCTTTGGGAGGGCGGGTCTGACATTAACGCTGTCACCCACTGCTCAGGTGAGCTGGACTCTGGGATCTGCTTCCCCATCTGTAGAGTGGGCTCAGAGCACTGGCTCGGCACGGTAGCCGGGAAGGTGACAGGTGATGAGACACGGCCTTCTCCGGGCCCTGCTCAGAGCAACAGCTCCACGGGTGCTGCTGTCTCGGTGTCAGGGAGCCTGGGAGAGGGTGCTTGGAGGGAGGAGGTGCCTAAGGGGTGGCGTTTGAGGCCTGCGGACTTGCACGTCTAAAGGACACGTGTTTCCTCGTTTGGCATGTCTGCATGGTACGAGGCAGGACGGAGAGCAGCTGGGGAAGCTCCTCACAAGTGTGGGGGGACGCAGGCGCAGACATCACAGGCTGGGAAGCCGCTAGGTCCTCTCACCAGAGCCCCGCCTCCACGACCAGAGGGCAGGGGTTCGTGGCAGGGAGCCCCTGCTGTGGGTGCAGAAGCCAACAAGGACTGGCTAACACCAGCTCAGCCCAAGATGGAGGGGAAATGGACCGGAAAACACCCCAAAGCTCATCATGCCAACTTACAACGCAATGCTACCAGCGGAAGGGGGGGCGGGGGGGGGCACCCGGCAGGTGAGCTGCGGGAAGAGGGGAGACAGCCCTCGTATGGTACATTTGGGGCCTTGGGAGGAGCCCCGAGGGGAGGAGCTCAGGTTCTGGGAAGGCCTCCCTCCCTCCTGCTCTTGGCCTGGGTAACCCTAGGTCCCCAGCATCCTTCAAGCGGCCTGGCACACGGGTAAGAGGATCTCCGGCCCCTCACGACCCGTTCACACTTTCCTCCCAGACACAGCGCCCTCCGGGGCTGCTGCTTCGGGTGAGCACCCTGAGTCTCTGGGATCGGTCCCCGGGGGGAGGCCCCGGCCACGCTGTCAGATTGAGAGCAGGAATCACAGGGCTGGCTTTTCTCTCCCGTCTCTTCAGCTTCACCCAAAGGCCCTTCTGCTGGCTTTGCCGGGATGTG